GATATTCATGGATGGAATTATTACCTTATAGATGATATCTTTTCATTATTTATGCATTGTCCATGGTATCTGGAATGGCTATGATTTGCATTGATTACTCACCGATGTTTCTTTGCCGGAGATATGCAGACCGATCACAAGCGGGCGCGCATGGTGGACATTTGTGGCCAACCCATTTATGGATGACAGCTGCGCGATGCGCAAATGCGGCAGCTGGAATGTTCACTGGCGGTCAAGTGAAGTGGCCACAGTGTATTATATACACCTGCATATGGATGTGTGCTTCGATTGGAGGATGAATGTTTCACTTTTCGTACAATCGAACCCGGCATGTTTCACAGCGAATGAACGGTGTAGTGATAGCAAGTAAAAGAATGCACGACACGATTTCGTAGTTGAAGCCGTGGCCAGTGGAACGTTTTGTGGTGTTTGGACCGCATGATGAACAATGCGACCCAAATGGGGGATGTTAAAACCCTCTAGGCCCCGTGCCGAAATTGGGTAGCTGTTCTGAGGTCCTTGTTGGTGTTGCTTCCCAAGTTCCATTGATCGCCATTTGGCTCAAGACACAATTGAGGTTCAAGATCTGATGTGTGACTGCGAACATTCGTGACGGGCGATAAGAGCAAAACAACTGCTTGCGCTGCATTGTCAGGACTACTGGTGTAACTATCATTCCTTCTTCCTTACAACGTTTACACGGGTTCGGCTATAACGGCATCGTCCGTATACACCTTTCTACGTGGTTGGTATTGAAGCTTGAGGGTTCGGTGCACAGCGTCCCACGGGACGTCACCTTGCCGTCTCTTGACACGTTCCCAGGTCCAAGCAGGAACCCGGGCTCCTATGGCACCTCCGGTCGGGTCCATCACCCAGCCTACAGCAGTCATGGTTATTCCGACCCAGGTGGCCCAGCCGCCGCACAAAGTGTGGCAGCGTCTCGGACACGACGTCGTGCAGGCAATTGTGAACTGGTGGCCTGGCACGCTCGACCCTCAGCAAGAGCCGCAGTGGTGTAGCACGCTCCAGTTGTTGGCAGACTTTCAAATGGCCACTGGCACTATGGGACCGGTCCGGCAGGCCGGCCGGGATCAGTGGCAGTTGCCGGGCCAGACTAGTACCCACCGTTTGGTGCCTGTGCCCTTTAAGGTCCGTATGCGTTGGTTTCTCCAAGTCTTTAAACAAGTTTTGGCAAGCCAAGGCGTCAGCCTGCAGGTAGCGTTTGCTCGGCCCGCATCCGAATCCGTGCACATGTGGACGCGTTGTGTTGCCTGGCGGTGGAAGGAGGCTCGCAGAGCCCAGGTCGAGCAGTGGGTCCGTCAGCAGTCCCCTTCAGGCGCAGTGCAGCGCGCCGGCAACGAGGTGAATCGCTTCAAAGTGGCAGAACGTATTGCATGTATGGTAATTCACGGTGATGGTGTCGAGCACGGTCTCCACCGCTGGTTCCGGTAGTGTCGTACGCACTGTTCAATCTAGGGCCTGGACGTGTTCTGCAATGCCGAGCACGTGCAACCAGTCGAAAGAGTCGAAAGAGTGGTGTTTTGGTGGTGGCGGTTGGGATGGTGGTGATGGCGAGGGTGGCAATGGAGGAAAGATGAGGAAGGGCTAGCCATTCCACTCCGATTTGATTGCTTAAAGAGGAGGGAGGTGTTGGCAGTACTATACACGGCCCCTGCTGCAGCTAGTGCAATCGGTTTGGGAGGACGGGCGATGTGGCTGGCTTAGAAGCCACGTTACTCGGGAAATCTTTGCCTGTTGTAAAGAGGCTCTCGGTGGAGCCAACAACACCAATAACACTGAACAGCTAAAATGCGAACTACTTTATCCTGGTTTGCCTATGGCAGGAGGGCTTGATTCCACTCCCTCAGTAAACTTGTTGGGCGAGGCACACAGGGATTCCTATTTCCCAGCGACCTTGATACATGTTTGTTGCAATGATAGTAACAATATGGTGGTCATTGTATATTACACATGTATTGCCGTATATTGTGTATGATGCAGTCCGTTCAACTAAAAGCAAAGGGTCATTTGCTGGCTACCTCAACGAGGTTTCTGGAGCGCACGGCAATAGATCAACCTGGGATTTGATGGGTATGGGCTAGATGAGGTCTTGCCGCTTCCCCTTTTACTGCGGAGTGAAGGTAGGCGGCACAGTTCCCCGTTGTGCCGTCTTCTTTTGCTTCGGTGTGCGGTACTGGTAGCTTCCTTTTGCTGGCTCAAGAAGCCATCCAAAGATGTATTTGGGTATTTCATTGCGCCACCCTTTGACGTCATCATGGGGATTTATGTCCACCAACCACGGGGCGTTCCCCATTCATGGCCACAGAAAAGACACGCGAGGTGGATGTCTTGAAGATCCATACCAACGGCGGCGAGCGGCAAATCCTGGACGGCGCCCAGCGGCTCTTTGACCATTTCCAGGCGACGATGAGTCGATGTGGCTGTGGGTCAAAAAAACCGTACCCAAAACGGAACCCTGATAAATGGAACAACCTGCGGTCCCCTGGTGGGTTTATTTTGACCCATACACATGTGTTCGGGATCTTCTATTGCACTAATAAGGGACCAGCATCATCACACGTATTTTTGACGAGGAGCAACCACTGAGCTAGCTTTGCGGTTTGTTAAGCACGAGCGGGCAGAAGTCCAACGCTGAATGTGGAGACTTGCGTTGCACCGCATATGCACCGCTAGTATGATCCGTTAGTTGATTGGGTATCAATTACAGTATTGTTTTGTTGTCTTAAACTCACTATCCAAAGGAGCTCATCACGGGATTGGCATCACATATGGATCGACAGTTGTTGCACTTCCAGCTTGTTGCACTCAAAGGCAGAGATGTCACCTAGCTCTCTTGGCTAGAGCAGACAGTGGTGACAGAAAAGGGCGGGCCCAATGGCAACATCGAACTCTTTCCAGAGAGAAAACTACCGTGGCCGTTCAACCAGTGAACAGCCCCACCTTTTGCGCGCTAAGCACATGCTTCAGTCGGCCAGGTTCCGGTCGCTTTCGTGTTGCGCGGACCGACCGGTTTTGGGCGAATGAGGTAGCTACTTATTTGCACATTGAGAGACGTCCACAACATACAACCACTTTTTGTTTTTCTTCTTTTCTTTTAAACACGCTGCAGCCTGTTTCCCACCTGCTGCAGGTCAGATAGCTGACTCTAACTTGATTCCGGTTTGCTTCCAAGGCGAGCTGAAGTGTGGCCTTGCCCCAACTGATTGAAGCCGCGAAATGTCCTTTTGTGGAGTGCTGAAGCCACACCCGCCTTTAGAGGCTTTATACCCAAAGAATCTGCGCAAACGCCTCGAGCCTCGAGGTGCGGTTGGTTATTCTGCACTCAGCCTGGGGCCCAAAGACACAGTGTGACCGCTACAGGCAAGACCGAAAGCTTGAATTCCTTGGCCTGTGCCAAAACATGCTCATCACTTTTACCCTCTTTGCGAATCCACGAGTGCTTTCGCAGGTGTTGCATGACTAACTAACAGAGCGATGCCAATTCAATAGCAAGGATCATGTCTCAGGGGACACCAGATGCTTGTTACTTGGGGGCCGTGTGTTTCTAGTTTGAGAATGATAATTTGCCACATGGACGCGTAACTGGAATCCGCAAGCCCACAGCAAGCAACAAACATGCCCTGTGAGTGTTGGACAGCGTGACTCGAACCATATGGATACGTCGTGTCAAAATTTGCCCACCCCCCCCTCAGATTCCCTTGACACCAACCTGTAAAGTGCACCCTTAGAATTTACCGGACCTGAGCTGAGTGCTCATGGCTTTTCGGATCTAGGCAGAGGCCCACCAGCTTTGGCCTTCAGCGGAGTTCTTGCTCCAGCGGGGCTACAAGGTGCTGGTGGACGGACGCAGGACGCGGCTCTTCGAGGGTCTGCAGTGCTGCTTTTGCTTGGGCTCCTCAAAAACCAACAGCACCTCAAGAGACTTGCAAGCGCCTGCCACGATGATCCCCCACATGTTTTGGCGCTTGTGAGTTGTCCTGGGCTCGACTTGTTTGGAGTTCATTTGCAGTTGATTGTTCACTACATACGGATCAGAACCAACACATGTGTTTTGTTTGGGGGGCAACAGCTGAGGCAGGTTTTTCTAGCAGGGTCACTGGCCAACTGCAATGACGTCTGTCGATGTGTTGACAGAGGGCCACAATATGCTTTTCTCACACTGCCCACCAGCGACCGCCGAAGCTTGGTACTTGACATGGAGAATCCTTTGTTTTAGGCGACTCAAGATCTTGTGCAGCTCTTGTAACAGGTTCCGGACCATGAGACATGTTGTTCCGGTCCAGCTCTAATGCTCGTGTGGCCAATGTCCACCAAAGCTTCTTGCAGGATCTCGGAAAAAGATGGAACCTGGGTTCGATCGCGAGTACAAGAAGTGGGCGGACTGCAGCTTCATGCATCGCGCGAGTGAAAAGTGGCATGCATGCTTTGCTTTGCATGAGAGAGCGCAGTGCTGGTACTTTATCGATTGCAAACACCTGGCACAGGCTGAAAGCTTGGCTGTCCACAATCTGGGCCAACCCAGAAGGCCGACGCCAGAAGCTTGAAAGGCCCTTTGGTTTGCAGCAACGAGCTACTGGCCTGCTGTTAAGACTCTGTAAGTTTTTCTCTGTGAGTTTGCAATCTTAGGTTGTTGGAGATCTGGTGAAGCCTCGTTGTGAATATGAAGCATTGTGTTGACAAATGTGGTGAAGCCTTGTGCTGCTATATTTTTCCTAGGCTTACACAAGAGAGGTGAGCCTCCAACCCAACCTCGTTGGCTGTCAGTTGAAATCCCTTCAGGTTTATGCTTATAGCAGCTCGGAGCGCTCTATCAATGAAACCCTCATGAGTGAGATTCCATTCACGTGCTTGACCATTGCATTTCTACGTCAAGGCTTCGGCCTGAGTAACATTAGGAAATGTGCCGTCCGCAGCAGCAAAGCTTTCGTTCCTTGCCCACATGGCTGACTCGCATGTCCATGATCAATTAAGTTTCTACGTGTGCTTGGTGACCGGCTGTAAGCATGATGTGGCTGCTGTTTTCGTTGCTGACGCTGGCATCCGCCAGCAAGATCGATTGGTCGAAAGACCAAGGCAGGACTGAGCACGTAGGTTGCGGCAACACTGGCCTTGCAGACTTGCACATGTGAGAAAACGAAGCAGATACCAGGAGTGCGGGATGTTGGTTTGTAGCAGCGGTTCACCCGGCTTCGGCAAACGCGGATTGATGCCTTTGGAAGGCTGCATCATCGATGAATCCTTGAAGGTTACGGATATGCACTTCAAGAACGATCAGACGAGGAGGCACGTTCCGATTCACTGTGCACCACACAAGTATATCAACTATTTTGGGATTTGTTATTTCTCCTGCAAGAAGCGGAGCATCAGAGGTTGCCGTCCTCACCCTTTTCCAAACGAAGCAGTGCCACGTATTGCAGTCATACGATTTCAACAAGAGCAGGCTCCTGCTGTTGCACTGTTGGTTCCGCTTAAACAAGCAGAAAAGCCAGCCAGTTGGAAGCCTCGCGTCGCTGTGCGCAGCCTCGAGGCCTTTGCTTTGCATCAAGGCGAATACCACGCGCAACATATCCAACGGGACGGCAGATCTTACCGTGGACGCTTTGGCAAGCGAATGGTGCGTGTGTTGCCTTGTTAGGGGCTGAATGATTGCTTCATTCAGTCATAGTCTTGCGCCTCTCACACCAACATGTCGACTTCATGTTACGGGGCTGATTGCCAAACTTTTCTCAACATCCTCATCTTGTCGCTGGTGCAGCTGCCTTTTGAGGAATACAACCCACTCTATCACAAGACCCTGACCTTCGAACTATGCGGCTCCAGCCATGCTTGTCCACCGTCAGGCCGGTCAAGGTTGACGTTTGATTGATGTCACGCGTCTTTACCTGCTCACTGCGGTCAAGCAGTTGTGCGTTTCTGAGGGTTACAACATAGTCACTCAGGGTTGTTTCCCTTTGACCCACCACTTGGGGCGTGACTGAGATGGCCAAGTCACGAGTTCAATCCCTTTGTCGCGCTTCGCAGGTGTGTCTCAGGAGTTGTGCCTCGGCACTGTGCCATGGCTCCTGCCCGGCCAGCTCACAGCATCTTTGGAGCTCACCGGCTACACCCCCGGCTCCTTGGATTAGAATCCCCGAACTTCAGGAAGCAGTCCTTGAACCCTCGGGGTCTATGGTCGAGAAGCATTGGGCAAGATGAAATGTTGATGTCCCACTGGTGAAATGTTGATGTCCCACTCCAGTGACACACTCTAAACCCGGTGTTTGATCCCCAGGTTTGATATCTTCAGCAGGGTCACTGGACAACTTGTGCTCACTGCCCGCCATCCCAGCATGCCACACTCTGAATAATTTGTCGCCAGGCTTTTCTGGATTGCGCGTGCTCGCCTGCAGCTACTTTCTGCGATGGAGTGTCGGAGCCACAGAGGTGCACGTTTGAACTGGCGTTCGCGAGATATAAAATGAGCGAGCATCCGATGTCAGTCTTGAATTGCCAATCTTAAAGGACATGTAAGTATTAGAACGGGTGGCATCCCATATCATAGTATAAAGTAGCGAATATTACTCCTGTTTGTGTTTGCACGTCAAACTCGATGACGGCCTTTGTGAAAAGAAGAACAATATGATATGTTCTGGTTGGACGTGGTGGTTCATGCACGCATCGCATGCATCAGCCAAGATTATTGTAATGTGCCTTGTGTGTGTGTGAACATAATGCAAATATGCAGAATGCTACGTACCATTGCATATGCATCACTGTCGCGATCGCCATATATCTATACGAGATGGGGAAGCGCACATAAGCAGTGAACCAGTCCTCAAGTCCTTGCAAAGGCATCGGACGAAGCAGCAAGGGCACCTGATTTGACCAGGCCCATTTGGTGGGAGAGGGAGAACTGGTTTTACAGTCTGCCATGGCTCAGAAGCCTTGCTTATTTATGTTCCTTTTTCCCAAGCACGGCAAGAGGGATTACTCTCATACTGGATGTGTTCGTGGATACCTTTATTGCACATATGTTCTACAACCTGGAAAGCGTGGAAAGTAGGCACGTGTTGCAATGTTTGAGTGCTGTCCTTCACATGCTTCTTCTGCATGCTGTGCCATGCTTTCTCCCCAAGGATGTTGCATCGTTTCACATTAGAACTATATATGTAATTGCTGTGGTCTCATTGTACAGTATGCGGATATTTTTGCTTGGCACATTTGGTATCAACACCTGCGTGACCCGTCTACTCAGCTTGAGTTTGGGGACATTGATCACACATGAAACGTTTGCCGTTCGCGACATGATCCTGGATGTGGCATGCGTATGTAGCATGTTCTGTTTGGCGACTTTGTCTTCGTTAGATTAGCGTGGAACCCGCCAAACCATCATTGTTCCTGAAATCTCCTGGGGGGGCCGTGTCATGTTTATTTTCATTGGCAGGGGAGCAAGTTTGCATGTTATCCGCCGGACTGGAAGACTGCTGCGATATCTGCCATGTTGCTTCAGTAAGCCCTGGGAGAGCCCCAACAGCGAAGCCTTTGCCCCTTGCTTGACAACCGGAGGGGGGGGGGGGTTGCAACCACTCGGAAAAGCATCGGGTTGCTCACCTTGCCGGTTTTCGCGTTGCACTCAATGGCGTTTCAACTTGTTCATGATGTGCCGGGCAAAGCCAATCCCAGCACATGGTGTGAGGAGCTGTTTGTTTGTTTGCATGTCTGTGTGTGTGTTTTGCTTGCGTTTGTTGTTTCTGTGGAGTTTCTGCCCAGATAGGCCCCGGAGTCGCTTGAAGTGGTTCCGGGCTCGGGTTCCAGAAGGGATACAGGCGTTGCTGTTGTGTATATACCACCTGGACATATTGGTGCGCGGGTGTGTCTCTGTCGTTTGTTCAAATTTGACATGTCCATATTTTTGTTTGGTTAGTGGGTTGGTCAAGTCTATGTTTGACGGCCCCGCCATTATCAGCAGGATCTTTACAGTCGAAAAGTGTTGCATGCTCGCCCTCGTCTTTTCTATCTGCTCCAGCCGCTCGGCTGCGCTGAGCCAAATGTTTCTGGTGTCTAGTATTTGAATGATTTACACTGCTTTGCCCTTGGCAAAAGTCTTTGACATACTTGGGGTTGGCTCAAAATTTGGGGACCCAACAAATGGTTGGTTTGCTTTTGCACTGCCTTTAAAAGCAGCCAGCAGGGGACTTCCAACAAATGACACCCCCAAAGCACAGGCACTAGCACTAGTCAACACACACAGACACACGCATGCACGAACGCACGCAAGCATGCACATAACTTAACCACAAAGGGGGTTGTTTCAAAGTTGAGTGACCAACCATGCGTGGTTTTCTTGTGGTTCTTCTTTCAACCCAACCAAAAGGGGGTTCCCTCAAATCATAACACCCAACGACCAAATCAGCTTTCTTTGTCGTGGTTTGCCATGTTGGCGCTTTTGCCCGCATGAAGCAGATGCTTAATCTATCAGTCCGCATTTGGATAAGAGGATGTTTTCCAGGTGTCCACCAAGGCTTTGAGCCTATTCAGCCTTTTGCCAACCAGTACCAGATGATTTGCTCAGAGTTAGCGGTGGGCAAGTACACCCTGCATCTGTTTGGTCACGGAACATCGCCAGAGTCGCCAGCGTCACGGGCACGGCGGCATCCCGCCGCGGTCATGGGGCCGGCGGCAGATGATGACGCGCTGCTGCTGGACGATAACAGGCAACGTCGGTGGGGTAGAATGTCCCTTGCAAAAGGGGAAGCAGAGACACACTCGCGCCCGGCTTGCAGATTTGTTGCAGACATGTCTTTGGATATGAGTTGCTGGCCGGATTGATTGTTTTGGTAACCTACTTTATTGATGTCGTTTGCTTCCGGTTTGCCTGGCCTGGTTGCTTGTTTGTTTGTTCATATGATTGTTTGTTTGACTGTTTTGCCTGTTGGTTTTTTGTGCCTTGCTTGCTGTGTTCCTTGCCCGCCGCTCTTGTTCCGTGCCTGTGTGCTTGCCTGCCAGCCAACCTGCTTGTTTGCTTGCTTATTTGATGTTTGCTTCTATTGCTGGACTCCTGCCGTAGATGGGCGCTGCTGGTGTTTCTGTATGTGGGGACATACATGTTGGGTACTGCGGATCTCTTGTAGACTCGTACTTGTAATGACCAGCAAAGCCAGGCAAAGAAGGGACGTGTCAATGATGTATAGTTTGGAGCTCCATTATGTTGCCTTTCTCTGTGTATATATACATATATATATATATATATTGTGTATGATGTGTTTGTCTTTCTGTTCTTCTTTACCTGTATTTGTATCTTGCCCTCTCTCCTTGCTCTCTTCCTTTTTCTTGATCTTTTTCTGCTTTTGTCTTTATGTTTATCTTTATATTTAACATATTATGATACCTCTATCTCTCTCTCCCTCTCTTTCTGTCTCTCTTTCTCAATTCTCGCAGCGAGAGAAACTTTCTTTGATAGCAACAGGTGCTTCACAGAGACTTCATCAGCGGTGCAATACTCACACCAATGCCACAGGGGATCTAATTCATTTGTGCGCCATTTTTAGCGATCAATGTGTTGTCAGGGACTTCGCAGCCGATCGACGTAGGCCACAAACAGCCTGGCTGGCTTAAGCCGTTTCTCACCTGCCAGGCGTTCCATGTTTCCTGGCTGCAACCCACGCATGATCAGCGTGTCCGCCGACCACACCATGCGGCGCTGGGACGCGAAGACAGGCTCGAGCTTTTGACAACTCGATCGCTACCCGACGATTGTTGCGTTGTCAGAAGACAATCGCCACGCCAATACCTTTGACCAGAGGAGTACTCAGTTGAAGCTGCTGTCAGACAGTTGAACTGTTAGTGCTTCAGTCTTTGTCCGTCCGCAAGAGTGGTCAGGCTCTTCATGGCTTTCACACCGGCGCATGTCCAGGAAACACACACACCCACATGGCCCCGTGCAATACTGTCGCAGAATCCTGAATCTAGTCAGTTGTTTTTTTTCATAAGCACCGGTCAATTTCACAGTCTCAATAAACGGAGGAATCTGCAAGATCTAAGCTTAGCTATGAGCAGCACAAGCCATGCAAATATGGAGTGCGCGTCACTTTTTGGGCACTCAGCCAAATTGGATTGACAAAGGTAACACTTCTATCAATCAAATGGCGCCGTTGCTATGTTTCACAGCGGCTTAGAGGCAGGAGATGTCACGTCTTGTGGACTCTAATTCAATGTGGTACTTTAAACCAATTGGCAAGAATTGTCCAGTCTGCTTCTGTTTGCGCGCGGCTCAAGCGTTTTTCTCTTTTTGGTGTTTCCTCACAACAGCAGTGTATCCCCTTCGGCGGTTTTTGCGTGCCTCCAAGAGCGCTGGCCTCCCGGGCTCCGCAGGTCGCCGTAGATGGTCATCAAAGTCATGCAGGGACGTCACAAGAGGAGATCATTTTCTCCAATGTGCCCCATGGGTCTTGGGACGTGCATGGTCATCACATAGTATTAGTATTTCATTAGAATGTACAGATCAGGGTTCTCCCCCCAACCCCCCGCATGTTTGAACAATGATAGCTATCCTTGGTTGTGTCCCTTGGGTGTCCTGCGTGAATCTTTACTTTTTGTCCGCTTTGTTGTTTGTTTTTGTGCCCGTGGGAAAGTAAGAAGCCACATTACCAGTGACAGTGGATATGTCCCTTGGGTGTCCTGCGTGAATCTTTACTTTTTGTCCGCTTTGTTGTTTGTTTTTGTGCCCGTGGGAAAGTAAGAAGCCACATGAAAAGTGACAGTGGATATGCTCTTCCTGACAATGCACTACTGCCAAGGCGGCAGTTTCAACAACTTCAAGAACAAATATTGAATTTCGTGAAACAAACAGCAATTTAATTCGTCACATGTGCCACCTTGGACATCACAACTTAGATTTGCAGGCGAAGAGCAGCAACTCTTTTGGAGACACAAGGCGCGGTTGGCAGCGACAAGGATACGGCAAGGGAGGCGAGAAGCCTGGGCGTTGCATTGTGCACTCGGAATGCCATTGTTGGTGGTGTCTTTGTGTGTGTGTGTGTGTGTGTCAACGTAGCCAAAACAAGATGCGAGCAGCTGACAATGACAGTCTAGGATCAGTTGGGGAGAGAACTCCTCACCTACTACATACTGCCAGCGTTTGTATATATGGTCCCGTGTTCCGTGTTGCTACCCCCCCCCCCCATATGGTATGGTCCCCCAGGACCCCCCCCCCGGCCCGAGACCCTGAGCCCCCGAATCCTGGCACCTACGGTCCCACCCCCACGCACCCCGACACCCCGGCACCCCCACCCCCAGGACAAGCCAACCCGCAACCAACCATAAACCAACCCTAAACTAACCCTAAACCAACCCCAAATACACCCTGAACCAAACCCTAAACCGTAGACCTCTAAACCTAAACCAACCCTAAATCAATATAAACCATCCCTAAACCCTAAACCCTAAACCAACCCTAAATCAACATAAATCAACCTAAATCAACCCTGAACCAACCCTAAACTAACCCTAAATACACCCTAAATATACCCTAAACCAATTTTAAGCCAACCCTAAACCACCACAACCCAACCACAGGACCACAACCACAGGGGGGGGGGGGGGGGACTTGTCTGGGGGGGACTTGTCTGACCCATGACCATTGGGGGGGGAGGGGGGGGGGGCTGGCAACGCTGCACCATATATACATATATATACATATGCATACACGATGTTGCCCTCTTGCCCTGTCCGCTGAAGCGAACCGTGGTTTTATCCGTGACCTGGTTGCTTTATCACCTGGCTGGCTGGCTGGCTGGCCTCTTGGCTGGCTGGCTGGCTGGCTGGCTGGCTCTCTCGCTTGCTTATTGGCAGACTCTTGGCTGGTCAATGGCGAGGTGTTTGGCGGGAGGATTCATTGGACCGATTGCAGAGAACTTATCGCGTGAACAGCTTGAGTCTACATTAGTTGTGAGACGTGTGATCTGGTGACAAAGGATGCAATGCTGATTTCAGTTCATCAGAGGTGGTCATGCTTGTGTTTGTTTACAACCCGCGCAGAGCATTTGGCCGTGTTGTGCAGTGCAGGCTTTCCAAGCTGATGGGCACTGAGTTGATTTCTGTAAGTGTTGCTGCGTTGTTCTGGCCATTTGAAGTTTGAGTAGAGACCCTGGCCCGTTCTTGCGTTCGAGGGAAGGACCATCAGTGAATCAGTGTCGCATTGCCGTAGCTGGTCCGGAAAGAATTGGGCTTGGCAATGCAGCCCCTACGGTTTATTGAGGATCAGCCCCCGTTTAGCACAATGAGGCCTTTAGACCCAAGGGCATGTTGCAGTGTCATTCTGTTTCTTGCAACCAACCGCCTCAGGCCTTTTCTTCTCTTGCCGACAGAAGGTCACAGCATCTACAGCAAGCGGCCTAGAGAGACTCCTGGCCAGGCGTCCGTGCTTTGCCTTTCGGTGGACTGGGATACTGGCATGGCGGTACGGAGACCCGGACACAGAGTTGAGCAGACCGGTTGGGTTGCATGTGGGAGTTGTCACAAATTGAGGGGACCCATGTCGAGCCTTGGCGATTGCTTCCGGGAACCAAAGCTTTTTGTTCATAGTCAGATGCTATTTACCATGCTGAGGTGGGATGAATGTGGGCACAGGCTGCAAGGATGTTGGCTATAAAGCATGCTTTGGCAAAGCCGCAAACGTCAGAGAAACTGTGGGCACCAGTCAGACAGGAATCATCTCAGAATGCTGAGTGACTGAGGAGAACGACATAGAGGCAACCACTGTAGCAATACTAAATACTGTGAAGTCCATTTGGGACCTTGTATATTTCTGCCCAAGGCAGTGTGTGGTGATGTTTGTTCGGGCTTGTTGTTAACCCACAGGCCGAGTGACATCCCGACCATCCAGGACCAAGTTGTTTTCCCCGAAGACATCCCAATGGATAGGAAGAGACATGGACCCCAGGCGCGTGGGTGTCGGAGCCATTGCTTACCGAGTTCGCAGATGAGTATGACCCCACTCGCATTTCTTAGCGGTTGAAGGTACCTGGCACAATTCCCTTTGCACAGACCTACCTCCATTCATCCCTGTGTTTTAAACATCACGTGTTTTTGGGTCAATTTAAAGTGAGTTTCTTTTGGGTTGGGTGCTCTTTGGGGAAAGAAGGAGAACCTCGCAATATTTTGTCCGTCCCAGGTCACCGGCTCAGGTGATCACTCCTTAGTCAGGGACTCAGGAAGTCTCAAATCCCAGGAATCCGCAGGAAGTTTCTTGTAGCCGAAATTTGGCTTCATGTGGGCTGAAACTTGTTGGCTTCCTCCTCGTTTCCTGCCAGAGTGACAAGGACTTGTGTTTGAAAACCCAACAGCTCACTGACTGTTTGATGAAACCTGGCACGCAAGCAGAGTGTTTTCGAAACGGAGCTTATGTTCGTGAAATGAGCTTCAAACTGCTATTCGATGTTCCACCACGTGCTCCAGACAGGAAGCAAAAGCTGTTTGTCAAGCCAGGGTCACAATCAAACCCAGTGAAGGCTGAGTGACATTCCCAGCCCTGGGTGTGAATCTCCGCTATGAATTTGTGGTTCTTTACATGATGTGTAGACATCACCATGTTTGATTGTTGACTTGCGGGCCCAAAGACCATTGGGTGAAAGTAGACGGTACTATTCGCTTTGTGTCACTTGAGGAAAGGAACACGGGGAGGTTGTGCCATCTACTTTGATCCGGAATCTTTTGGAAGCGGTCCAGACCCCTGACCAGTGCCTCCCTGGCGGAGAAGGGACGCTCGATCACCCACTCGAGAGCCCTTCCTCAGTTTCCTGTGAGTTTTACAGCATATGCTCCCGGCCGCCAGGCAAACCGGAATCTCTTGGCAAATTCCCAGCGGAAACCACTGCCACAACCTTTGTGGTCTCAGGCCCAATCTGAGGCTCCATTTCGGTCCTGTTTCTCCACTTTTATGCAGTATTTTGGGTGAGGTGGTCCGTAATTTGAAAAAGAGGATACCCGGAGACCGCAATCTTTGTGTTTGCCTCTCATGTGAAACGTAGAGGTGCCTCGGTTTATGTCTGACCTTTGACGACCCCTGTCGGATACGGTGTGGCTTTTTTTGCTCGCAGGGCGTGTGGATGAGTGGATCCAGCAGGCCTCAGAACGCGATGCGCAGAGTCCCAAGCCTTTCACCCGAGGCGCTTTGGGATATAGAGGAGGCGCAGGGCGATCCCTTGCAGTGCTTCTTTGAAGGCAGGGGCGCAGAGCAGAGCTCCAACCGGGTGCACGGCTAGTTCAACCTGATGGGCGCAAGTTGATGCAAAGGGATCCCTCGGTTCATAGAAGAAACCAGCATGAGACCCGCTTTGATGTGTCCGTGGACTAAGATGTTATTTTTCTGGCAAGCGTTTCAGTCAAGAGTGCTGCAACAATCTGGCCAGAAATTGACCAGCTCAGCTGTCCTGTGCAGTCAAGATCTTTAACCACTGTTCAGCAGTTCAGCAGTGCTCAGTATGTTGTCCTCCACCTGTAGGTTTCGCACGATAGCTTTTCCTGGCTATCAAGTATGGATTCACCGAAAGATGCTGGATTCCCGGAAGCACTGGCAATGAGCACTGGCAATAGGAGCCTCGTCTACATCGCATGCGGCGGTACTTGACAAAGCCGTGTCAGGTCATAGCGACTGGGTCACCTCCGTGGACGTGGACTGGGATAACAGGCCTGGCGCCCTCGAGGCTTGAGGCAGCGTTCCAAGAAGTTGGGCAAATTTTCCTATGGGAGCTGTGAGCCTCGCTTTACGATGGGTAGTTCAAGCATGGTTATCTAACAATAGCACGCGGCCGCAAAAGAGCTGATTCTAGATTTGTTTGCAGATGCACAATGCCAGTGCATCGTGGAGAGATGTTCATGGCAACACCCGGTTCTTTCAATTGCCTCGACTAAAGACCTGCCTTGTCGTGTCCAATGTGACGTTTGGCATTCCAGTTCACTGATGTATATCATGACGCGCTCTTATTTTCATGGACAGAGCGACAAGACACGTGACACTTGTTAGGTGTAGCTGGCCTTTGCTCTCAAACTTAAGATATCCCTCCCCCCTAAAATTGGAACTGGGTGCCGGGGGGTGGGGGGGTACCCCCTGGAGACCTCCATGTATGGTCCCATTTTCCTTTTTCATAGGAAGACTAGAGGAATGCAATTGGGGACCCCCCCTTCCAGAAGGTAGGGGGGGTCTGCATCTCCGCTTCGGCCGGGCTTTGGGCTCGAGCGTGGTGGCCGACACCTCACGTCCGCTGATACAACGCGCGCTTCCGCCCCGTTGGGGTGCCACAAAGAAAGTCTTTCGAGCCTTGGCTTCACGCGAGCGCTGTGCTTACACTGTTTCTTTCAGTCGATTCTTTGTTTTGTTTTGTTTGTTTTTTGTCGCTTGGTGTTTTTGTTTGAAGTAGTGCTCAAACTTGTTCATCCGAATAGGAGTCGCACGTATTGTTTTGTCTTTGCGATGTGGAGATCACAGCCTTGGCTCTTAGTTGACACAAAGGGCAGAGCATGCGATTCGTTTCTGTTCAGCGTCAGCATCATCACACCCCTGAATTCTTCAACATAAACAGGAAACCTGGGCTATTGTCTATTGTGGAGGGAATGAGAAGCAATCCAAAAGCGGGATTCATTTGGGCCCCCAGACTAGGCCGCTGGTATGTGACATGTTATTCCATTTAGGGACCTCTCTACTGGGAAGCTTATTGTGTGACATATTGTTCGTGTTTGTCACCAAACAATGGTTGTCTTAAGAGGTCGGACGTGTTGCTTGGGCATGTTTCGCCATTGTTCAGCGCAAGGCTTCATTGGGCGGCGTGCTTGCCTGCAAGTAGCTCTTCTGATCGATCGAAGCGGCCTGTTTGAAGCAAACAATCAAGTTGCTCGGGAAACAACAAGACAAGACATTGTGTGTGTTACATCGTGGCAGACATTCTGCATACCTGGGCTGTCCAGGTATGTGCATCACCAAAACGGCTTCGGCCTATGCACAAGCCCAACGAGTATCCCCAACAGCCCCGAAACCTTCCGACGCCGTTCTGTGATGTGGGATACTGATTAATAAAGGGCGCCCCCCACCCACAAAACGACTTGGAGGGACCCAATAGAGAAAACCGGAAAGCATTTTGGGGGCCAGATGGGCCTTTCCCAAGGTTAGAACTGTTTAGCGTTGGTTTAGTATTGTTTTGTGCTGCTTGAGTAGTATGGTTTAGTGTTGGTTTAGTATTGCTTCGTGCTGTCTTAGTATTGGTTTAGCATTGCTTGGAATAGAATTGGTTTGTATTAGTATAGTATTGGCTTAGTATTGCATCGGTTGTCTTTGGTCCTCTTCGGTCTTCTTCGGCCTCCTCTGCCTAGTACTGGCTTTGAATTATTTGAGTGCTCCTTTTGGCTGGCCCAGTACTGAGTAGAGTTGGTTGAGTATCGGTTGGGTATTGCTTGATGCTGCCTGAGTACTGCCTTTGCCCTGCTATTGGTTTGTATTGGGATAGTATTGGCTTATAGTAGTGTGTTGTGTTTTTGTCCCGGAAAACGGTTGCACAATTGGGTACCCCTTTTTCATTTCAATTCATTGAGTATTTGGGGTGGCCACGTACTGCCCCCTTGGACATTTGTCGGCGAGCGCTTTTGTACAAAGGATATGTAAGGAAGTCGGCGGTTTCGGGAATGGGTGTTGTTTCCGACTGAAAACAATCTGGACAACAACACGACTTGCTTTCGATGGAGTCTAATATGTGTTTCGAGCCAAACAAATATATTGTGTTAGATACCCTGTTTCATCCGGGGTAGAGAATAGCATTAGAAGCATGTTCTTGTATTAAGTTTCCCTTTGATTAATCGGGTACCGACATCAACCAGCGCCAGCGCCGCCCCAAACCCAACATTGGCTCAGACGAAGCCGTCGCCGCTGGGAAATATATGAGTGGCAACAAGCGTGGCCCTTTCCGCTCAGGACAAATCCATAAGCGATGCCTCGCATCCCTTCACTCGCAGTTCTCTTCGTGACCGGCTGTGCCGCACAATTCTTGGCTGACGCCCCGCCCAAGGCAGGAAGGGCTGCGACTCAGGGGGACCGGGTGTTGTTTTGGCAAGTGGCTCGCCGCCACACGTCCACAAGCAAGCTGAGAGTGCACTCTCCGTTAATTGGCAAATGCGCGGTACTTGAGGCTGCAATGAACAATTGTTCGCAATCAGTTCGTGATGAGACAAGCTCACCCATGACAAATTCCTTTTCTTTGGGGTGCCCTGACTCTCAGTTGGTGAATCATAGCAACGAGGCGCGAAACTTGTACGAATGCGTTTGTGTTCAAGACTAAGCCTTTTAGTGGGTTTCAGTATGTGACAATGTATTATATTTCTCCAGAGTCGGAGAAAATGAGAAGCAAAGAAGCAGAGCCTGGGGAAGGAAGGGCTTGGGGTTTGGTTTAGGGAGATGACTCCACAACGACCAAAACAAGCAGCGCAACCCTGTGACCGACGCAGCCAGCTCAGACTTGATTCCTCACTCACGCTCGTGAGGACACCATTCCAGGGGCTAGGCCCTGTCCACATGCTCCGCGCCGCTGCTTTGTTTTCCAATTCCGTACCCGTGGGCGCAAAGGCTGTATGAAGACGACAAAGAGTTAAAAGAAACATAACCTCAAACAAGCGGTCAACGCCTGAAGCGGCTTTTCGTGAAATCCCAGATGTTGCTGGTTGATCCGATTTCATCAGTCTCAATCAATGCCTTGGAGATTCCTGAAGGCCCCCGCCAGCAGGGCACAAACTCACAGCTTGGCTTGTGAGAGTTCCCTCGGGTCGCGGGCTTCTTTGCGTTGCTCTTGTTCAGCTCGATGTGTTTGATGTGTCAGCCAGTCTCTTGCGGTCTGCGCAAAGGATCTCGAGCTCGTATGAAGGTCCCTGACCGGGGGTCCGGGGTTCCCCTAAGTATTTCTGGTTTCGGAAAGATAGTAACTTGCTGATGGCTAATTTTAAAATATGTGTGGCCCATGGTGTGTCCATGCTGCGTTTCAGTGACATTTGACGAGCAGTTTTCAGGCGCTCCTTCTCGAGCTCAAGGACCTCTTGGGCGAGAATCACCTCACCTTCTCCCCGCCACTCGGCGTTGTTGGCTGGTCCGAGTCGGTTCATGACTTGGGCTTCAGCTTCAGTTCAAAGCTTTATGAGCCGTGAAGGAAAGCGGAATGGAGAGCAGAGACTTAGTTTAGGTTTGTTTGAGAGTATGTATCTTCTTCGTGTTGCAAGGCTTGAAGGAGAGCTTGTTTGACTGTATTTGTGTTGGAACCCCATCGCAATCCTCTGGAGGACCACTCTAGACGAGATGATCCTTGAGCCACGTGTTGCAATACCCTTCTTTCGATAGCCATCGGCATGTGTCCTGTGAGGTCGGTTGGTTTGAAAATGAATGGCGCTTGTCGCTTTCAGTTTTGCTGCAAGGCCAAACCATTTGCTAGTGTAATCTCAACCAAATGCCACGAAATATGTGGAAGGGGTCCTTGGGCCGCATGTTTGCGCCCAGTGCGGTGGCCAAGGCCTTTGTGGACTAGGACCCGTGGGGAATTGGGTTGCTTGCGCATCCAGAATTCGCAATTCCATGTTAGCGTTTTTGAGTGAGTGAACCAGCCGCTTTGCAGACCTCCACCCCTCCCCCCCCCCTCCCCGGTCGCACTTGGTATCCGTCGCATGGCGCTCGAGGCAGCGGCTGGTGGCTCTGCAGCAGGACCTCAGCGACCTCTTCGCAGCGCTGCCCAAGAACTCCCGAGGCGCGCGCGCGCGCGGGGGGGAGGGGGGGAGGGGGAGGGGAGACCGGCGGATGCACCCAACGAGGTGGCTGACTGGTGGTTTTCTGTTGGTTTTCCATGACAAAGAGAAGCAGGGTTGCAAACAAAGACGTTTGGAAGTGTTTTTTTCAAACTTTGGCTGTGTGACAACCCAGGGATTTGTTTGTAGTTAAAACGGGTTGCTTTCCTTTGGTTCTTGCGGCACAAGTGTCACACAATTTGAGTCCTAGTGTTGGCGCGTCCCCTTTTGCCCTTCCTCAGTCGCCGATCGCTTAGTAGTGTAGAAAGGAGGTCGTGAAGTATCGTTTTTGTTAATCAAGCTAGTGGTTTTAGTCTTCTCGTAAACTAATATGTTAGTACCTGATTTAGCACTCTTGTCTTTTGGGGCTGCAACATGGTCCTCTTGGGGCCCCCGGGGTCAAGGTCCATTGAAGTCATTGGAATCAACTCACCTCGGCGTGAAGCGTCAGATCCTCCCTGATACAATGGGGACATGTTGGGACGTCTTATATATTAGACAATCTGAGCTTGACTCTAGCTTGGCGCAAACGCTGTGGTACTTGTAGTTTTTGCTAATGTTTTTGTGGCCCATGCGCAGGCAAGGACGGTCAGAAGTAGGCTGTAAGTGATGCTGTCCCTGGTTACGATCATTGGATGCTGACCGGAAAGTCGGGCGTTCTAAAAACAGAATGACGGTGCAACGCAAGTCGCCTACGCAGGGCTTGACTTGTTTTACACATCAGCGGATGGCACAGTTTCCTGCTCAGTTTTCTACAAACGGTACTAGATACAGAGGTCAAGCAAGCATGGCTCAATGGTAGCGGACATAATTTTCTCAGGTGAGCAGGTGCTGTGAATTATGGGTACACTTGGCCTTGCGCACCCAGGAAGCAGCGAAACGGCAACGAGGGTGTAGATGTTCAGATCTGGCTTTCTACGCAGAAAAACACTATTGCCATAAAGATACCAAACCATTGTGGATGAGGTGGCTATCGTCTGAAAGATTAACACGTTTCATTTTGGATCAGGTGACATTAGAGTTGAAATATCTTCTCACACAACTAATGTTCGACGAGGTGGCTCTCGACATACCAAAACAATCACTTTCATATAGTCACCAAAATGAGCGTGGACGCGTCATTTGATGTTCCCATCCCACTAGTTTATGTCATTCAAGTTAGTCCCAAAATTGTTTTGTCGCTTTTTCTTTAGCTTTCCTTCAACACTTTCAGCTGATTGGCGGGTTGCCCTCAAACAAGTCGCACTTCCATTCGTCGCTTCTGGCGGCGCCACTGGCGTCAGGCTCTGTGCGACCGGCGGCGGCGCGCTACGCGCTGCACCGGCTACTGGTCCAACGCCATGGGTGGCAGTTCAGCGGCCTCGAGCTGGGCGGCGCACGCCTGGCATGGCATTGAAAGCGCTTCAGCTTTCGCAGCCGCCTCGCCCTCCCCATGTTCCCCGTCAAGGGGTCCTTAGGTCTTTGTGGGTTCTGGAAAAATGGCGGGCACCAAAAGTTCTAAGCCACACCACCCCATTCTGAAGAGCTAACCCAATTATCCCCCAAAATGGATGCAACAACAATTGCCATCGAAGCAGTCCACCCAAGCAAGGCTAAACTCAACTGTTTCCATTCTCTCCCTTTGCCGACTCCCAGCAGCCCACCAGGCCTCTCCCAAAGCAGGGGCGGTCAGCCTTGCCCTTCTTGTTTTGCCCACATCCATGTCATGAATCATTGCCAAAGCGACACTGACAAACATAAAGCCCGTGGCTTCACGGCAAGCTTTGCTCAGTTGTTCAGTGACCCTGGAAAAAAAAGGGAACCCTTTTTTGGGAAGACCATTTTAGTGGGGCAGCCACCAAAAAAAAGGGAAAAAGGGAGCCACTCAACAACTGAGTTTGAAGCATCCTCCTGATGGCACCGCGGGCCCCTCATCAGCCAACCCACCAAAGTGGTGCCCGCGATCCAATTCTCCACAAGCTTCCAATTCACCTCCTCAGTCTTTCAATGGGGGCCCACGCAGCAGCCCACGCAGCAGTTGTCATCACTTTCGGGAGGAAAGACCGGAAATTCTAGAAAATTGGATGCTTGGAAAGAATGGGTTTTAGCCGAAAATATGACCTCATACAATACTTCCCCATTCTTTCTGGCTTTCCAATTTTCACCCAAAACAGATGCAAAAGCGGAAAAAAAAAACATAACAGGGACAAACTGATCTTTGATCGAAAGATGCTGGGGGACAGAGTGATGGGGTGGGGAAAGAAGGGGAATAATGATGGTTGTTGGGCAAGAACGATGGTTGGGGAAAGAACGATGGTTGGGGAAAGAACGATGGCCCTGGGGAAAGAACGATGGAATGCCCCTGAAAACAGAACGCTGCCAGTAAGATCGATGGCCTGCAGCGGCATGACTTTGGCAGGTCAGGGGAAGGGTTGTCTAGTCTATTGGCCCTACCCCTAGCCCGCGGGACAACTTTCTGCATGCGTCAGTGCTCGCTGCAGAAAAAAACAAAAACTGAGCCGAAACCGGCTGGAAAGACCGATCGTTGCACTGAGTGCGCGTGTGACGAAAGAATGGGGAATCAACCCTTAGAAAAGTGGGAAGCGAATGTTTCTCGGGCCTTGGGCAGGACTCTTGGGACAGCTCCTCCCCCACGGCGGCCTTGGGGAACCGCGTGCCGGAGGAGAGGCGTCAACTGGGACATGTGAGAACAATACGTCCCGATTCAATCAGAAGTTTTCGAGTTTAAGCAAATTCGACTTTACTCAATTGTATGTCCTTATAGATCCCGAAGAACAAACAAGTGGGGAGAGCAAAACTATTGAAATTGCAAGTTTAAATTGGAAAGGGTTTAATTTCAACAGGTAAGTCCTAAACTGACTGCAGGAACTCCATGCAGGAATCCCCAGGTGCTTGCTTGTTCTGTTGGTTTCAACCAAGGTGAGAAATTGGCACCCTCCAAAAAGCCAGAGCCAACCCTTTTGCTGTAGGAATCCCTTTGAACCCAATTAGGCTGGCGGGTTTAGTCCGGCTCAGATCCCTTCGAACCCAACAAGTCAGGTCCGCTGGGTCCGGCTCAGCGGCTCAGGACGTGGCGCAGCTTTTCGAGAGCCGCCTCACGGAGCACGGCCTGGACTTGTCGGATTTGGCCACGCTGGCGGCCATGCTGGAGAACATGGTCCACGCGGAAGCCGACGCGCCTCGACTCGGGAGCTCACCAGAAGGTAATATGAATAGAATGGGCATGAGGGGGTACTGGGGCCTAAATACATAGAATAGGGTTGCGGGGCTGAGTACTAAGTACTTAAGTACTTCAAACCGGAACAAGCCGTGAGAAAAGAATAATGTGCAAGCATTTTGCGCCGTACCTGCCCCTTTTTGAGTCTGACAAACCGCACCCCGACCGGCCCGATGGCTCCCAGGTGCGCTTGGCTGCAGCCTACCGCGCGCTCAATTTGCCGCTCAGAGAATCGCTGGATCTGCAGCAGCTGCTCGGCGAGAGACCGCCATGGGTTGGTCTCATGGGCAAAAGCTTTGTCTTTCCCAGAGCGTAGGCCATGCTGAGCAAAAGCAGCAGTTGCAATTTTATGGCGGAAATCTGGATAGACCAGCCAACTTCAACCGATGCATTCAGGTGATGTGAATATGGACAAGGTCTTCGTGTTCATGGAAAATCATTCAACCTTAGGTTAGAATCCGCGTGTTTGGGAGGTGGATATCGCACATGTGGATGCAGATTCAGAACGCGCTGGCAAGGCGCACATCTGGGGGAAAGTAGATCCGCCATTCTAGATAGACCTGAGAAGTGCGTGAGCATCAGTGCACGTTTGGGCACAGCGTTGGTGCCTCCCCTTAAAAGCTATCTGAACTTGACACTCGCGGTGGATACAAGATGGACGTTGACCCCGCCATCAAGACCTGCATAAGGATTGCTGTTCAGGGAAGCGCGGCCTTGGTTTCCAGTGGCCCACTCTTGTCTACAGCTTCCTTTTGTCCTCAAAATGGAGCAACTGCGAGTGAATATTCATGCTGGTGACATGTTTCTTGTCAAGGGGAACTGGTTACAACATTGGACATCCGGTAGCCTCTCTCTCTCTCTCACAGTGCAAGTCCTTCCGTCTTGCACTTAAACTGTTTGTCGCTCGCTTCCCCGGCTATAGACATTTCACGAAGGAAAGGGGCTCATCTTAGATCCCCCCCAAAGTTCACTTTTTGTGGAAACCCGAGTATCTCCAATTCCACTGGTAACCTCGTTCTTGGGGTCGGTGGAAGTGGCCTTTTCGGTGACGGAAGTCGACGCTACGGCCTTGAGGTCCACGCAGGTGCTCGAGGCCTACATGGCCAGCTTCGTGCTGGGCGCGGACATGCAGCACCTGCAGCCGGAGAACATCCGCACCAAGCTGTCCGAGGCCTGGGGAAGGAGGGAAAGACATCGGTGTGTGCATTTGTGTGCGTGTGTTGTTTGGGGGCCCGTTTCAGCTTGGTTCAAAGGGAAGCGGGTCCTTCTATGTTATCGTATTTTCACATCCATCCTCCCTTTCTACCACTGTATATATACTGATAGGAGGGTATTGGAGGATGATCCGCTTGAAAGGCCGGCAGTGCAGTCCCATGCCGAGCTGTGGATCCAAAAGTGCCAAAAGAGCACAGCTGGCGGGTCCCTTGCTGGTGGATTGCTGGCGGGTCCCTTGCGTGGGGAACTCCATTTTGGATTCACAAGCAGAACTAAGAGGAAACCAATCACTTGGGGTCCCCTCAGTTTGAAACATGTGAGCTGCACAATTGGGGCATTCAAGTTATTCAAGGCAGGTTTGAGCATCGTAAACCTGTTTGAAGTTTGTCAAGGGAAGTGTCCTATCGAGCTCCTGTGAAACCGCAAATACAGCCCGCAAAAGCGTGCGCCAGCTTATCGCGAGGTGCCGAAAGCCCCCCCCCAAAAGTGCCCGTCGGAGGTGTTGTTGCAAGCTTTGGACTCTCGTTGGTGTGAACTTTTGCCGGCCATAGGAAGGCAGCACATGCGCATGTTGGATCAGAGGTTTCTGCGTTGCAAGGATTTGCCCTTGCTTAGGCCTCCTCGGTTGGTGACATTGGCTTGCGCAACCTGCCACAAATTGGCTGGAGCAGTTTGGAAACTTCCATCACAAACACACAAGCACAAGCGCCAGCGCAAGCACACGCACGCACGCACGCACGCACGCACGCACGCACGCACGCACGCACGCACGCACGCACGCACGCACGCACGCATGCACGCACGCACGCACGCACGCACGCACGCACGCACGCACGCACGCACCCACACACACACACACACACACACACTGACACACACACACACACACACCCACCCACCCACCCACCCACCCACCACGCACGCACGCACGCACGCACGCACGCACACGCACACGCGCACGCACGCACACGCGCACACACGCACACACGCACACACGCACACACGCGCACACACGCGCACACACGCGCACACGCACACACACGCACACGCACACGCGCACACACACACACGCGCACACGCACACACGCACACACGCACACACGCACACACGCACACACGCACACACGCACACACGCACACACGCACACACGCACACACGCACACACGCACACACGCACACACGCACACACGCACACACGCGCACACGCGCACACGCGCACACGCGCACACGCACACGCGCACGCGCACGCGCACAAAGTCAAATCCGGGTTTTTGCGTGTGGCCCGCGAATCGACACCTTTTTTTTTTCACGGCCAGACCCTCCCCTGAACCGATCGAGATATGAGTCAAACACCAATCTCACAAAATCTTACAGAACATATGGAAAAGCTATGGCAAACTTTAGAAAAATCCGAAGTCGATAAGTGACTTAAAAGTTTGAGCAAGATAACTTCCTCCGTTCTTTAAGTCCCCGAAGTAAGTGATAAGTCTCCTATGTTCCGGAGCCCAACTTGTAGGGGTCACCATAGGGTTGCCTTGCGTGACAAGGTTGTTATTCAAAAAATTAGGGTTCCTGGTTTTGGGACAGACTCCGTTACTTAGTGCTGGCATCAAATAGGAAACGGGGACCCATCTGATTTGCAAAACGTGTTCAAAATGCAGTTTCCGAGCAAGATCTTTGAAGAAGGGTAGGCAGCCTGGTTGTTTTCCAAAGCGAAACCTTCCCAAGGGAACCCAATGGCTCTAACAATAAAACCCTTGTCGCGCAAGGCAACTCTTTGGTGACCCCGAATAAGCGCATCCGCAAATTGCGTCGGCTGGGGGGTTTTTATCGTCAGGGGAAGGTGCATTAATTGCAAGAAAGGATTAGCAACACATTGACCGTCTTCAAAGCAATCCGACGTGAAGCCGATTTGGAGGGGCCTATTTTGCGCCTCCCCCTATTTATGTTGCTGATTTTGAGTGGGAAAATGTGCAAAAGAACAAAAACATGTAGACACATATATATATATACATATTTATGTTAATATTATGCGTGTGTGTGTGTGTGTCGGGATGCCGGAGGTGCCGGAGCAGTATCCGACCTGGCCAGCGACGCAGACCTTCCTGCAGGATGTGCGACAGGAGGTGGCGCCCACTGCAAACTTCTCGCGGCTCGGAGTAGTGAGGCCGTGAGGCTGTGAGGCATCGGAGTCCGAAAATGTGTGTCTTAAAGTGTTCCCTTATGTTTTCCTACTTCTCAAGACCGTCCCAAGAGAATTGTAATTACCCAGGAAAAAGCACCCTGGAGAATGTATGAAAAGAGAAGCAAACCACCTGTGTATTTGGGCAATATACTTTAGTCTGACCATTTGACCTCACAAAGGCGGATGCAACCTGAACCACGAGCAAGATTCCGTTTTTGGCGCTTCCTTGTTTCATATTTGGGGACAACAGGACGAGGGTCACTGCTCCAAAACTGAGGAAGACTCGCAGATTGAGGTGCGCAAGTGGGTTGAAGACTTGTTTGACACATGAATTTGTTGCGGCTCCATCTCTATTGCGGCCGGTTTTCAGGGCCCTGTTTGCTTCCGAGCAGGTGCTCTATGCCTTTGTCTCTTCGGCTCATATCAGCTCCGGTCTTGGGCTCTGTCTTGCCGCCAGCCAGCGCTCGATCGATGAAACCGATCTCCACTTTACTTTGGGGACGACGCAACATGTGGAGCGATGCATAGCTGGCCCTCCTGCTCACACAGAAGTCTCCAAGGGTTCGTCTAAAAATTGCAGATGCAGGATAAAACGAGTTGTTCACTCCAGGGAAATCAGACACATCCACACAAACATGTAGGTGTGTGTGTGTGTGCCTGAACCAATGTTGACTCACTCACCCCTGGGTTGATTTTGGTTGCCCTTCAAAAGCAGCCAGTTTCAGGACGGGGCGCATTGCGACTCAATAGCAGAAGGAAGCACTGGTGCATTGTCCCAAATCACTAGGGTTTCTAACGAGTTGGGTGGTGGGGGGCTGGGCAAAGGCAAAATTGAAATTCAGGGGTCAACAGATTCAATTTTGGGGAGCACGGGGAGGTAGTCCATGGTCGAGCCTCTAGGGCGCTCATCAGAGAGCAGGCTTTCTGGCCCTGAAACTCTGGGTGCAGCGTAGCTCAGAATGGTTGTGATTCTGGTTCTTTAAAGGAAAAACAGGGATGGGCAATGCTTGAACTTCCCCCCCCCCTTTGTTTAACGCCAGATGTCTGATCCACAAAAAGTGCCGCTCGGTTCCAAGTGGGCATAAAACCCGCGCCAGACACCAAGGTTCCAGGCCCTCTCAGAGGTGGTGGCGGCAGTGGGGGAGCGCTATGGCAACCGGGCGCTGAACAAAAAATGCTATTGCGCTGGACTTTTAATCTACAACTGTTTGGGTACATGTGTTGTTTCTCACGAACCTACAAGTGAGACTTTTTGGGCAGGGGGTAACGGGTGAGTGCCATCTAAACATGTTGATCGTTGATGGGATCTCTCTTGACAACGAAGGGCGGGAACCGGGCCCAGTCACCGCGGACTTGCCGTGGGTGGGGCATTTGTCTTGGCTTGCCCCTTCTCTCTCTTTTCACATTGGTTGCTTTTACATTCTCCTGTTTCTGAACAGATTTCTATCAAACGTAAGATCTTTGGTTGCGGCAAAAGCTAACATGTGAAGAACAAAACCAGGGACTGGAGATGGTTTCATGGAGTTGTTTGTGTCTTTATCTCATGCCTCCCGATGTCATCGAATCCTTCGGCGATTCGGCTGGGTGGTTTGGGGACCTAAACCCACTCGGGCTGACTGGTTTGGTCATGTTGTTGTTTTTGACTTGTGGGGTTGCAGGGAGACCAAGACAAGTTTGGGTGGGGAAAGCACTGATCTGAGGCAAGTGGCAGAGCCACGAATGTTCCCACCTCAAGGAAGAGCTGTTGCAGAGTGAGGCGGGGGTCTCTCTGGGCATGTTGTGAACGACCTTTGGTAAGGTCCGTTCTTGAGGCGTTTCTTGATTGCCGGCTTGGGACGTAGACTTGTCGACCTTCGAATACACGCCATTTTGCGTAACATCAAGTTTGATGAGTGTGATACAGACACCATGGCAATAAATTGCCAGGTGGTCTCTGTTAATATGTTTCCCGCTGATTGTCTTTTACCATGGGCTTGGTTCCAAGTGAGGGGAACTCCCCCCAAGCAAATGCTGGACTTCCTTCTAGCTTCGCTTTAAGATCAACCCAAAAGGGCACGTACCCTCTAAAAAAGGACACCTGGTGACACGCCGTTCCAGCCAGACAAGCCATAAACTGCCCAGGGACTAAGTATGTTCAACAAAGGCGGCCACAGAACTTGAACCACTGGTTCTGGCCGCTTCGCGTCAGGAGCATCCCAACACCGGGAGGGTTCGCCTCAGCGACTTCTACAGCCAGGCCTTGCATGGAGGCGCGTTCTTGTTTTGGGGCAGGTCTGCATCCAAAAGATAGGGTATGGTGGATCCAACAGCGGTCCAGTCTCCAAAATTGCTTGGTTGGTTTTTCACCTGTTCTCCCCTCCTGGCACTCTTTGGTTGGTTTTTGTAGACATGGTTTATGTGCTAAATATTGCAAGTAGCTGACCAAGGAAAACCCTGAACGCGTACGGCAAATATCACGGGTGTTCAGGGTGCCTACTTCGCTTGCAAATACCGGCGAGCGGTAAATGATGGGAATGTGTGAACGGATACCTTAAACGGTCCACGCCTTTTGTGATTCTCTTCAATATTTCGGCAACCCCCAGAGGTGGCTGACTATGCCTGCAACGGATTCCTGCATCTTGCAGAAGCAACCGTGGGGCCGTTTGATGAGAATCCGGAGAACTAGCAACTTGTTCTTTGATGGAAGGGCCGTCCTTTCTTTTTTTGTCGGGTAGAGATCCTTCACCTCAGAGGCGTAGCCTTGCCTTGCCGGCTCGTCCACCCGGATCTCGGTTTGTTGGGCTTAAGAGCCTTGCCCTCGGACTTTCAAGGGGACGACTTTCCCAAAGCTGGCCGTTGGCGTTTTGACCGGCCATGAGCTAGCCAGAAGAAACCAGGACCGGGAAAGCCCCAGGTCGGCTTGCAATGTAAAAACCGCCGCAGGCAAGTGGCAGTTCAGCGAAAGCGTTTCCTACCTGCGGCAGCTGGGAGCTCTTGACGAGTCAGACCCCGAGGTGGGGATTGGGCACGGAAGTTGAAATTTGCTCTGCTGGTTCTGGCTGGTCCTTGGGGTTTGTGTTTCCTTCCAGGTGCGACTTGGCAAGTGCAGGGAAGCAAAATGCTGCCCAGGGTTGGTATGTCTGAATCTTAGGGGCCTCTCCGTCGTTCATTTATGAAACTAGTGTTTGTTGGCAAGCACAGCATCTCATGCAGAACTAGTTCGAAGGCTCAATGCTTTCCTTGATGCGTGCCTTAGCAAATCTTGTTGCATCCAATCAAGCCCAGAGTGCCCACGCATCGCTCGGGGCATATTTGCCCCCTTCGGCAGGTCATCCGCGTCATCGTGCCCAACTACATCTTGGGACCTTCGAATTGCATCGCCTCTTCTGGCTGCGTGGCAAACAGACACGGACTGGCGGTAACATGAGGTCTTGGATGCTTCCCAAATTTGCTCGGTTTCCCTTTCTATGGGAAACTCGTTTTCCAAAATGGGTCCGTGCTCTTCCACCTTTGGTGGTGAGGGTATCTAATGTCGTGCAGTCCGGCTTTCGTCGGATTTTTGGAAGGAGTCTCTTGCGTAGCACCGCCCTAACCTTAAGCCGCAAATTCGGCCCGCTGCTTGTTGCAACATGCCTCACATGCACTTGAAGGCTTGCCCAGTGTTTAGGTCATAGTCCTGTTTTGTTTGTTGTCCACAAGCAGAATTCAGGGACTCTCTTGGATGAGGTTACTGGGAGTGCCATGGAATGCTGGGCTCCTGTCTCATATCGGCAACTCTGGTTGGGCATGATGTGCGTATCAAAGTGCTCAAGCACACATCACCCAGGGATTTTTTTGCGGGACGTCCAACTAAACATCGGCGTAGAATTGTCCTCCTGTGTGTTGTTGTTTCTGTCGGAGATCTCACGACCACACTGTGATCGCTTGGATGCTGTGCAGCGGGGGATTTCTTGCCCAAGCCAGATTAGGCTGCATGGAAGTCCCACCCATGACAGCGTTTGCCGGGAACCACTACCAGTCCGATCCATCAAAGCACGATGCCCCTGCATCACCCCTTAATTCATGGTCGGGCAAGCTGTCCTTGTGGGTGCACACTTGCGTCAGAGGCTAACATCCACCGTGCAACTGAGAGGAAGTACCTAGCAACAACAAGTTGGTTCCACTTCTGGTCGCTGCCAAATTGAAAGCCGCCGACTACTTGATGCAATGGTGTTAGGCCAACACATGTAATTCGTAAAGAATTATGTGAATCAGCATGACGCCAACCCATGTTTGCTGTTTGCATCATTGTTGATGCAAGGAATGTGCCCAACCTTGGAATTATTTAGCAGGTTAGGTTGTGCTCTAGCATAAGCAAACAATGTTAGCGCTCGGAGTTCAGTTAGGTTCGTTTGCAGCAACATGTTGCCCAGCCTGGTCAAGCGCACCAGTACAGCTTCTGTCAGTGAGAGGGTCTTTGTCTCCTTTTGAGCAAGCCTCAGCAACCGTCTCCAATCAGCAACAGGGGTAAAAGGAGGAGCCCTAATCCCTTCCCCCTTTAAATATGTGCACCCTAATAATATGTATATATAGTTTTTCCCAGACACCCGGATCCCCAGTACTACTTTTAGAATTTGCCAATTACTCAACTGGCTGACTCCCTGGCAAACCCGATCCTAGTCTTTTTAGGGGGTGCTCTAGGACCCAAGTTTCGTGTACTGCCCCATACTAATCTGAATTGGCGAGGGGCACACTTCACTGACTGCTTGTTTTTCTTTCCCTCGACAATGCCGTGCTGACCACATACCAAACAACAACAAAGAGCTGTTCTCTTTGGAAGTTTGTACTACGACTACAACAAAGTTACAGTTTGGGCAATTGGATGAGTGCATTTGCTTCTGGGGGACCCATTTGACCCCTAGCTACCCTATTGATAAATATCCGTTCGTCCCCAGAATTTTCTTTTTACGAGGGAGGGCGTATTTATTGTTAAGGGGAAGCGATTGCTTTGTTCCTGTTACAAGCTAAATATTTGAGAGTGCGTAAAATTTTGAAACCGTACCAATCTATTGCTATGTGCAGGACACAGCTTAGCGTCCGCTCGAAGGGCCATTGCGTGCGCATGAGGCTACTACGCGGTGTGCTGCATCGATGAGTGTGATGCTTATTTGCGGGGCCTCGAAGACAAGCTCAAGTCCCATCAGGCGTGAGCGAGTGAGTGTCCGCCTTTGGCCTTTGGCGTCCAATAGCTTTGGTCAAAGCATCGGCTTTGGATTTTCTTGGGCCAAGGTTGAAACAGTTGTGATATGTTTCTCGGGGTGTTTACATGACCTCCCCCTTTACTTTCTTATTGACCCAATACTACACCAATACCAAACTTTTGACAGCCCTTCCTAAGGTGTACTTGAATCACCCCTTTTCTGGTCATCAAGTGCTTTGAGCAGTGGTTGTTGCATTGGGGGGCCCAATGGCTCACTGGCATCCATGTTGAGCTTTGGGTTTGTCCAGTTGGTGTTCCAACTAAATCTGAGCCACCAAAATAGGCATCCGCTTTACTCCACGGCGATTTGGGAGCCTGAAGTACTACCTTTGCGAGTTGATTGTGGGCAGTTTTTGAGCAAGAGACGTGTAAGCAAACATGAGTTTGGCGAAGCTGCCCATTTTGGATTTTCGGAAGCAGGCCCAAATCTAACCGCAAAGCCTGAAGCTTGACCAGTGACTAGCATCACTGGGCTGCCTAATCATCTAAATAGCTAAGAGGTAGTTACACTGGGCAAGTTGTTCTTTTCAGGGGCTAGGCAACAAGACTTTTTTATAGGGGGCCCTGAAATAAAGTCTTGGACTTGGGTTTGTTTGCGTCAGCTTTTAAGCCAGTTTTTGGCGAAGCTGGACATTCTGGATTTATTGGAGCAGAAGCACAAGGTAGCAAATATTCAAGGACCAGGTGCTGGCTTGGCAACCACTCCTCTCCTCTCCTCTCCTCTTTTCTCCGCTCCCTCTTTTTTTTCAAAAAGGCAGGGGTGGGTGGGTGCTTGTCTTTGTTGTATTTGCTTCGTGATTTTGTCGGGCCACCCACTTGCCTTTATTCCACATCCATTTTCTACTACTAGGTGGCATTTAGCTTGGAAGCCGCTTGCCCTCCTTGCTAACACAATGGACTCCTTTCACTGGCCAATCCTCGAGCATCGGCGGTACCGAAGCGACCTTCTGGGAACTCCCCAAAGGAGACCGAGTCAGCCACTGCGCCATGACAGGTGGGTCCAGCTCGGAGTCACAACCACTTCCTTCAAACCACTGGGCGAAGGGGGGGGGGGCTGGGGTAAAAATAGAAGAAGTTTCATGGGTCAAAAAATCAAGTGATTCCCCAAGTGGTTTGGGGACCACTTGGGGGGGGAAGACATGGGTCAACCGAAAACGGTTCCCAAAAACGGTGCCGCCGGGCGCAGCTCCGCAGGCCTCGCCGGAGGCCATCTTGGCGGCGGTGAACCGCTCGGTGGCGCCCAGCTTGCAGCGCCGGCTCCGCGAGGTGGCGGCCCACCACGGCGGGCAGGCGCCGTCCGCCCCCCAAAATAACGGGTGGCCAAAATGGCACCACGGTATAACTTCCATTTGCTTCAGTTTGTTTTGTTTTTCTCGAAAGTTTATCCCCTGTTGGTTTTAGAGGGAATCTAGCAATAGTAGAAATTATCGTTGTTTTTTCCAGGTGACTCAGGCAAATGGAGGTGTGCATGGCTTCTTATAAATGGCGGTGATCAGCCTTCTACATGGGCTTATAAGCTGGGTGGATAGCCCAATTTATAATTAAATGTGTGGGCGGCCGAGTTGAGACCCAAAACATGGCGCGCCTCCCCTGAAAGGTCGAGTTCCGGGCTGCAAACATTCTCCCATGCTGGCCCACTTTCACGCATCCCCCTGGCCTATGCACAAGCAACACCAAGCCAATCCAATCCCACTCAATGAGGTGCATGCCTGAAGCATTGAATTCTATGAGTCGCGCAAAATTGCAATGCATGCACCTTGACATTCAAACATGCATTATGTGCTTTAATTATGTGCTGATATTTTCATCATATTACCGGTGTTCTACCAGAAGAGCTGGCCAAGCCTGTGGACAGAAGTTTCAATTAATACAAGAACTGTAGCTATATTGATCTCGATTTTCCATTTATCTCCTTTATGTTTACACTATTTGCTCTTTCCTTCTCTACCTTGTCATTTACTTGTATTTTCCTTTTAAACTGTGTCGCTTTCTCTTGATATTCTTACTATTTATATTTATATTTATCTTCTTTCTCTTCTTTCTCTGCTCTCTATTCTCCTTATCCTTCTTATCCTTCTTTCTCCTTTCTCTTTCTCTTGCTTTTTCATTTTTTCTCTCTGTCTTTCTCTCTCTCTCTCTCTCTTTCTGTTTCTCTCTCTCTTTTGCTCTGTCTTTCAGTGCGCTACAAATGGCCTCGAGCCAAGGATCTGGAAGGGCGGGAGGTTTGTTTTGGGGGGGTAAAGCAGGTTTCGAGGGAAGCCATGACCACTCGCCAATCCCAGCCATACAATTGCGCAGACTTCTAGAACTTCTAGATGTCGAGGGTTTAGAACAATTTACGACATATCCGTACATATCTACCAAATCGCCATGTCCCACTACATAGCGAGGCATCCATGAACCACTAAGACCATGACCCGGCGTGTTGTTTTTGAGGGTAGCTTTCCAGGTGGGTTTACTGGAAACTCAAATGAGAACCACCATTTTGGGGGGGTACCCGTTTGAGACGCACCGAGAGTTGCCCCAGGTGCCTTTGCACGGCCGACTCTTCTCGCAGTGGCTGCACCACCTCCACCCTCGAGAAACTCGACGGCAAACAGGCGAGGGAAGGAGTCAGCTGAGTCCTGAACCATGCGGATCACGGGGTGCTTGCGTTCCTGGCGATTATTGAAGTGCTCTGTGTTGTCACTTGTTCGGTAGTTCACAAAGGGAAATGCTTGAGTTGCACATCTGTTTTTCATTGCCAGGATAGTTGAGTCTTTGCTCTTGACCGCAAGACATGGTGATGGACGCTTTGGCTATGTTGACAATTTGTTGACAAATACATATATAATTATATATATATATATGTGCAGAATATGTGTTAGTGAAAGCATTTTTGAGACAACAAATCCTACGCATGAAGTGGAAATTGCTTTTGCGACCCCGCTAGATCCCCCGTACTTTGTTGTTGCCATCCATTATTGCGATTGGTTGATTGTGGCAGTAAAGGGCAACTCAAGTTTGTGTGACTGTTTGCGCTTTTTGATGGAACCCTTTTCATCTTGGTTTAAAGCGAAGCCGAATGGAAGTCACCATAATTGAAATTCAGGGGGGAGGCGCTATTTTGTCACACACACCCTTGTTTGGCCATAAGTTGTTTGTTTTATGTCTTGAATTCTTAGCACATGTTGGCCGTCTTGTTTGCAGCTTTTCGCATTGCCCGCGAGGAAGTCAGAGGCGATGAAAATCCATGATGTGCCTGGCGTCAAGTAGCTTGTGTAAATTTAACGCGAACCTCAAGCATGAACAGAACATATGCTAAGTCTGCCAGCCCTTTGAGACACCAGCAAGGCATGTTGTCCAACATAGCTGACCCTAGAGGTGAGTGCTGGACGATTTCGCTGCTTCATGGGATACTCAGCGGATCCGCATGCGGAACCATCATGACAGTGGAAGAAGCAAATGCAACAAATGGCTATCGAGTATGCGCACATTTGCGATCTCAGGAATGCCCATATCCGCACATGTCAGGCTGGCCGACGGGACAGGGTTGGGTCGAAAAGACTGATGCATTGATCCCAACAAAGAAACTCACATGGAGGTGCCTTGGATCGGAGCAAATGATTTGTGGCGTTCGGGCGGGTACTCCAAACATGGATCCCCAACTTGTTGGGCAGCGCGGGTTTGTTGCTGTGGGTCAAAAAGCAAGCAAACAGCAAGCAAGCACAAATCAAACAAACTGCAGCAACAAGCAAACACAAAGCAAGCAACAAGCAAGCAAAAAGCAAGCAACACACAAGCAACAATCAAGCAAGAAGCAAGCAACGCGCAAGCAAACGGCAAGCAGACAGCAAGCAAAAACAAGCAAGCCAACCAAGCCAAGCCATGCCAAGCCAAAGCCATGCTAAGCAAGGCCAAGCCAAGCCAGGCAGGCAAGGCAAACGAGCAAGCCAAGCAAGCCAAGCAAGCAAGGCACATCAGCCCACAAGCAGACTGCCGGACAAGACAAGCCGGCCATCAAGCAGGAAGCACGAAAAGTATGCTAGATTGTCCCAGGCACGCGCGGCAAGCCAAGCCACCTGACCACCAACGTGCACAGCCGAGAAGCGCACCAGAGTTCGACAGCGTGCACAGGCAAGCAACATGCGGACATTCATGAACATTGACAGACAATCTGCATGGATAGCAGCGTCAAGGCAGTTGTTGCACTCGCAGCAAGTCGCTGTGAAGTGGTCACGTAACTAGCAGTGGCGTGGACTTCAGATTTTCTGCAACCCTTCGAAAACTGATATACATCGACCTGCAGAACCGATGGGACACCACTTAAGTTGAGAGGACTTGCCTAGATTTTATGTTGGGAGGGAGGGTGCCCTCCTGCCCCACCAAACATCTCCCCATTGCAAGCTACCCATCAGAGTCTAATGAAGGTATCCAGGTTTGCTGCCTTGCATGGAGCTTGTCAATCCCAACCTTTTGCGCCAGGAAAAGATTACAAGGGGGTTCGTTGGGCTGCACAAGATCACGCTGGTAATGTGCAAGACAATTGCTGATCGGTAATTACACATTCTCATGGTGTCATCCAGTTGTTGTATACCACCAGTCTGGTATGCTTGGAGACTCGTGCACTGGCTTCGCCTTCCCAAGTGCTCAGCCTCAATGGCGTGTTAGTAAGGGCTCATTTTCGACATCCGAGCAATCTATGACATCAGAGTTCTGCAGGCCTCCCTGTATGTTCCTTTTGTTGATTTAAATCATCACTGTTTTGCCAAAGGATAGTGTGTTTCCTTCATTAAGTTGCGGTGATGTTTGCGGGTGCAATACAGGCACTGTCAGATTATCATTCTGCATGGCGGTTGCTGAGGGACTCCTCGAACGTGAAGTGACGAGGGTTCCCCAATGCAAACCTTTGCGAACAACAACATCAGCCCTTGGAGGTGTGCATTCGGCCTGAGGTGCCAGCCCTTCATAGATCTCAGCGAGCTCCCAAACAAGATAAGTCCGTTTGAGGGGCTGCTTCCTAGCTGTTCCCGCTTGATTTCCTTTGTGAAGTTGGTTGGATGGATGTGACAGTTGTGGAGCCCGGGCTATTTGGGCGTCATGTCAAAGCCAGCAGGACCCTTGTCGGTCGCGAAGTGAAGTACAACATGAACTCCATTAGGGAGTCAAACTCCTTTCACACGAGTCGTTAGCGTTTGCGGGTGCCTTTTGCCTGCAGGTCCGGCCTTAGCCCTGCAAGATTCATATGTGTTTGAGCCATTCCGGGGCCCTTCCCACCGGCTCGCGGAAACCGATTTTGGGCAGAAATCCGGCAGGTACCACCAGCCCCCTCCGCCCGGAGATCTTTGAGGAGCAGGTGGGCGAGTCTGTAGGAGCTTCCGAGGCGCGGCCGGACGGTCAGCGGATCGACTACGAAGCTTTGGTGAGCTTGCCCTGATCGAGAGCCTATCTTCTTTAGACCAACCCTTCTTTTGGGCCAAAGAACCAAGGGGTAATATGGAGGTGACGGTTCTCCCGCTTTCCCTGGTAGCCGCTTCCGGATTCAGGCTTTGAGTTTTCTCCATATTTCGCAAGCCTGATGTGGTGGGCATGGCGCTAAAAGGTTCACCCATGGCATACTCAACCAGTTGGGGCTTTCTTGTCTATCTTGCAGGTTAACTTCACCGGGATTTTAGTGACACACCAACCAGCGGTTCGCTTGCGCATGGTACTTAGGCTTAGTCTGAAAGCTGGAATCCGAGGTTTGACTGGGTCCAAAGTCAACCAGAGGTTCCAAAATCTTCCCGGCAGTGGGTAGCCACTCCCACAGTGTGTGGTTTCATTGTTTATGGTTTGAGGGTTGTCGCCATTCTTTGGTGAGGGGAACCAAAAGGGCATCTACAATTTTGGGGATCCCACTGTGCATCCCAAGCCATAACTGGGGCTACCGGCGCACGTCGAAGGTGATGCCAGTTTTGTTTGTGATGATACCTGCAAGATTGTTTACGCTTCACCATATCGCGGAGAATGCCACATCCTTGGTCACTATTGGCTTGACCTTTGGGCTTGACATGAGTCTGGCGGCGGGTGCCATGTTTTTTTAATTAATGAACAGTTTGATGCTTTGCAGTCTTCCTTAAACAGCATAGCTTTGCATGATAACTCTGCAAAGTAGTAAAACTCGGAAACGATCAACGACGCGCTACCATGAAGAGAATACACAATTTCTATCATAATTTCGTCCGCGGCTCATATGTTGGTTGCCTTGTGAGATGTGTCACATGAATTTCTTGGCATCAGGAGACGGCAGGATGTGGATCGGATGGCAAGATATTTCCACTTGTTGCAATTGTCAACTGTAAATGTAACATGCAGGAATAGGGCAATTGGTTACCAAACGCCACAGTAAACAGCCAGTTAGGTCATTGAGCTGCCCAAGTCACAATTATCTATCTTGTTTAAAACCTACATGGGTGTTCAATGCTCCAGCAGAATAAGGTTCGACTCAGATTTCGAGTCGGCTAGATCAACGGTGACAGCTGCCCTGGAATCTTGCTTTGCTTTACCAACCTTCCAAGACGTTCCAGATAATGTGACATTGAAGCACCACATGTCTGCTTGTCCATTGCCGACCAACCTCAAGTGGTCGGTGTCCCTTGATTTGATCCTTTTTCAGTCAGAGTCCTGCATTAGACAGCACTTCGTTTTGCAGCCTGTAGGCAGTTTTCGCATGCGCCAAGGGCTTTTTTCGTATGCACTTTCGGTCAGGAGGAGATGATGCAGCACGTGGAGAGTGCCGGCTGGCGGAAGGCACCAAGCCATGAGGAGGGCATGTGCTCCAACATGTGGACAATGGAGGAGGCGGGTCTCGCACGCATGGGTTGACAGGGAGACCCACAGCAAACCAGGGGTCCCAAGTTTTGAGAAACAATCTAGGGTTTGGGAGGCTCTAAGGAAGGGTTAGACGTGACACTCTGTTAGTGGCACCTGGAGGATCTTATGTTTCCCAGCTTGCATTGCATGTAATTTCCCCAGCTCCGAAACGATGAATCTCTTTCACGGTTTTGTGTTTCCAATCTACCCATCATATAACTTGTCCATGTCCATATCCTGGGTCTTCGTGTGCTTCCAATCTACCCAAGTTGTGTGAACTTCTTTTGTGTTTTCAATCACTGAGTATGGGATCCCCCCCCCAAAAAAACACACACACACACACACACAAGCCACAAAACACAAACAATGTTGTTTTGGTTTGGAGGCTTCACCCAAAAATCTGGAAATCTGGAAATACGTACCACCAATCACCGAACATGGCATGACCCCCCCAAAAGGAAAAAAAAGGGGAAAAAATACAGACCAGTTGTTCTGTTGGTTTGGTAGCCTCACCCAACGACTGGAAATGAGTACCACCTATGTTCGTTGCTCGCTCAGGAGCTGGTGGACTCCCTGTCCACCGCGGAGCCCGTCTCCGTCTTCGGGACCCGCGCCGCGGCGCGAGGCCTGGCGCTGGCCACGGCGGTGGTGTCGCTGGTGGTGACGCTCGCCAAGATCCTCACCTCCGCCAGGCGGGGGTTGGGCGGGTTGGGCGGGTTGAGCGAGGGGTTGGGGGGTTGGGGGGTTGGGCGGGTTGGGTCAAGAATGTTGACCAATAGCTCCAAGTCTCCTCAAGTGTGATTTTCGTAAGCAACAAAAGCGCCCACATTCACTCCGCCCCCCTACATGGTACCTGACAGGGTGGCCTCCGACAAAGTGGTTGATGTTTTTGGGGAGGGTCGAAGCTTGATTTGGGGTGCTAAATTCGTCACCATCCCTCCCACTGTCTCCTCTCGATCCCCTCTGCGTCCCTGTCAAAATCGGGGGACCTTCAAGGGATGGTCAAACCAAAAGGCGAAATTTTCGGTCGTTGGAGGTTTGGGCGGCCCAGAATTACTAGTTGGGCTCTTTGATTGATTGAATGTTCGGTGTGGGTGCTGCTTGTGGTGACTTCGTCTGAGTTGTTTGCTTGTGCTGCTTTTGTATTTGTTGCATTTGCTCGTTTGGTGTCTAGTGCGCGGTGCCCTACATGGTGTTAGAAGAGGGCAGTCACAAGAAGGCGGAAAGAACAAGGCCTGCGGTCCGGCTTCCGTGCTGCTCAGCATGTTGCTTAATTGGACTTCCGGACGCAACGTGGTCTCAATTGTGGACTGCTGGAGAGAGACCTTTTTTAACGGCCATGGTGGGAGGGGGGGTGGGGGGTGTTGATTCTGGCCAGGACCGCAATCCGTGTTGCCCGTGTTGCCCAAGTCTGCCTAATGCTGTTTTCCAGGCCCGAGACACTGGCGAAGCCGGCTGCGCCCAAGATCTACAGCGTTTGAGACCATGGGATGCCGAGCGCAGGACCAAACGGTGTGCGATGGCAGCTGTGGTGGGGGGGGGCATTGCTATCGTGCTTGCATCATCCTGCTACCTTTCTCTCGATATGGCAAAGCGCCAGGAAAGCGTGTTATTATTTTTCTAGGAACGCAGAAGGTCTATGTGTGTGTGTGTGTGTGTGTGTGTGTGTGTGTGTGTGTGTGTGTGTGTGTGTGTGTGTGTGTGTGTGTGTGTGTGTGTGTGTGTGTGTGTGTGTGTGTGTGTGTGTGTGTGTGTGTGTGTGTGTGTGTGTGTGTGTGTGTGTGTGTGTGTGTGTGTCTCCCGGCTGGTCGGTTGGTTGGCCGTTTGGTTGATCAGTTGGTTAGTTGGCTGAACTACTTCCTTTGCTTGGTAGATTTCGGTCAGTTGCTTGAGGTGATGGCCGACTTGGCTATCACGAACAGGTTATTTCCCACAAGCATGGCATGTCAATAGCTACCCCAAGATTCATTGCCTACCTGGACCCGGCAAAGTTTGTTTTGAAGCTGCGTTCGTTTTTTTTGTTGCCTTATACTTTTGTTTTTTTGAAAAGTCAACACGAATTGCTTTCCTTCCCTCTCGTGCTTGTGGGTTCGTAGATGCTGCATTGAAGGGAGAGACTGAACAAAATGCCATCGTTAGGTACAAATAATCATGTCCATGGGTCCAGTGCGCCCTTTACAAAGGGCACCCCTATTGCTAACTCAAAGCCTTTCCCATGTTTAAAGTCTTATGGTAAAGGAAATGCGGCCTGGAAAACATTGCAACAACCAAAGATTCAAAGCAGCTTGCTTCACTCGCTTGCATCGGACGACCGCCCCCCTCTCGTGAGCAACTTGCACTTCGCTTGCCAAGGGCATACGTGTTCCGATGGCTTTCCGCCAGGCGCATGCTCTCTGGCGCCGCGGACGGCGAGCTCCGACTCTGGCGCTTGGAGGGGGAGGACAGCTTTGCTGTCGGGGCCTCAGGCGATTGCAGGTGGGCACACGGACACACTGCGCCGGGCGTGGTTGGTTCTTGAGATGATTGGGTCTTTGGGTGCCTTGTTGGAAGCAGAGCGATGGGGTGCGATTCTTGGTCAAAATGCATGTCAGTGCAGCTCCTGTTTCTGTTTTCCAGTGTGCGTTTTGGAAGCAGGGCGCAAAGGCCCAGGCCGACTTTTTTGCAAATGGCGCGTATGGGCAGAGCTCAGGCCAAGATGTTGGACCACCGGGGCGCCGTGCTGGGGAACCTAGCCAGCCAAAAGCAGGGCTCAACAACCCATGTTGAAGTTCTCAGAAGAACCACTGGATGGATGTCTGTTCATCGTCGTAGACCCCTAGTTTCCACGTTTGTATCCTTGAAATATGCTCCAGGCCTGTTCCAATACCGTGTTTTCAGGCAATGGGCAAAGCATGTGTTTCGGGCGGCCGGTGGCCCCTTCAGCCGCGAGAGCGGTGTGAATTACTAGCTCTTATCCCAAAGCTCCTGAAAGTATTTGCATCCTGTCGCAGACCGATGTCATGTCTCTTCACTGATGTCCAGTCGATGCGCTGAATATTGCCCTTTTGCACACACACACACACACGCACCCACGCACACACACACACACACACACACACACACTCACACCTAGACACACACACACACACAGACACACACAGACACAGACACAGACACAGACACAGGCACAGGCACAGACACAGACACAGACACAGACACAGACACACACACACACACAAACACACACACACAAACACACAGATTCACACAGAAACACACAGAAACACACAAACACACTCACACAAACACACACAAACAAACAAACAAACAAACAAACAAACAAACAAACAAACAAACACACACACAAACACTCAAACACGCAAACACACAAACACACAAACACACAAACACACAAACACGCAAAGACGCAAACACGCAAACACACAAACACACAAACACACCCACACACACAAACACACAAACACACAAACACACAAACAGAAACACACTAACACACTAACACACTAACACACAATCACACAATCACACAAAGACGCAAAGACACAAAGACACAAAGACACAAACACACACAAACACACCAACACACCAACACACAAACACACAAACACACAAACACACAAACACACAAACACACCCACACACGCACACACCCACACCCCCACACACACACACACACACACACACACACACACACACACACACACACACACACACACACACACACACACACACACACACACACACACACCCGCACGCGCACGCACACGCACACCCACACCCACACCCACACACACACACACCACACACCCCACACCACACACCACCCACCACGCACCACGCACCACGCACCACGCACCACGCACCACGCACCACACACCACACACCACACACGACACACGAGACACGAGACACGACACACGACACACGACACAACACAGAACACACAACACACAACACAACACACAACACACAACACACACACACAACACACACACACACAACACACACACACAACACACACACACACAAACACAACACACAACACACACACACACAACACACACACACAACACACGTTTCCACGTTTTCTCAGCTAGAATTGGAATTCGGCAGGATGGTACGTTTAACCAGGACAAGAGTGGAAGCTGTGTAGCAAGTTCTACTGTATGCTTCAGTGTCCGATGTGTTCGCGCATGCCCTTTTCCAAGCAACTGGGTTGTTATTGACATACATCTCAAGAGTTTACAAGTTTGAATGGTGGGACCCGAGTATGACCAATTCCGGCGGTCAGGGGCCATCCCACACAGATGGTTTCGCTTTGCCATGTCAGGGCTAGGAGGTTAACATATCACCCAACACATATGGGCTGAAAAAACACCCCCGCGCCTTTTCGTTGTGTAAGGGGCCGTCCCTTAACTTTTTTCGCAGGCCAAAACCATTGTAAACCAATACAGAGGAAAAACCGATACCCCCAGAAGCCATGAAGACACACATCAGATCCAAGTTGTTGTCGCAAACCAAGATTGCGGAATCATAAATTTGCAGGGCCCAAACCGATACCCAAACCGATACCCAAACCGATACCCAACCGATACCCAACTCATTGGCCGCCATGCCGAATTCAACCAGCTGCCCTGCAGCCTTCCCTGGAGCTGCCAAAATGTACTTCGTATACTACACCATACTACACTTGCTTGCACTGAAAAGCTGCGACTTTCGAGCCGGAGGTGCCAAAGTGTACTGCGCACACTACTGAAAAGTTGCGACTTTCCAGCTGGAGCTGCCAAAATGTACTTTGTGTGCTACACTTGTACTGAAAAGTTGCGACTTTCTAGTTGGAGCTGCCAAAATACACTGTGTGCGCGCGACTTTCGAGCTAGAGCTGCCAAAACGCTGCAAACCGATGCAGAGGAAAAAACCGATACGGACCGATACTAGGGCATAAGGATACAAGGGTCGTCCACGGGGTTGTTTTTTGAACCCATATGTATCCTGCGCTGTGTCCAACTTATCAAAGCACTCTTTGATTCATCTTGGCTCCTGTGTCAGGCTGGTTGGCAGATTTTCGCTATTTCTGTGCATCTTTTGCGTTCCGAGGCAAGCCTTGTATGGTTGCGCGTTTAGCACTGTTCGCAGCCATCGCCTCTTCTTGGTTGCATGAAGGAAGCAGCTGCATGCTGTGTTCTGGGGTTGGTTTTGGGGGTTGCAGTTGTGTTTCACCTCTTCCTAGGTTTATTATTGCAAACCCGACTCCTGTTTGCAAGCCATCAAGAAGGGATTGTTGTTTATTTTAATTGCATAGGGTGCTTTTGTCCCAGCAGTAGAGCCTTTGCAGATCTGCCTCCCAAGTTCAGTTTCATGACAGTGCCCAACTTTGACAAATTCATTGGCCCCTTCACATGTGTTTACATGCTCTTTGAGTCTTTTGTGCGTATGCTTCATTTTAGCCCGTTTCGTGCTCCAGCACATTTGAGAAACCATCATGAGACATCCTCATCCCCACCTTCAGATTTTACCAGCTCGAGTCGCTCGATTTTCTTCAGGTGCCGGGTGTCGGCAGACTGGGATCGCAGCCAAGCAGCGACTGTGGGTCACGACCAGGTTGTCCGGCAACACTGGCGCGGATTGCTTGCCTGTTGTTCTTTTCGCCTGCAGACTTGGAACCAGATTTGCAATTTCAAGCATTAAGCTTCACTGGCGAAGTTTGAGCTTTCTGCGAGCTGGAGTCTTCGTTACGTGAGGATGTCCAACCACATGTTCAAGCTGCTTCTGTCAGTTTGCAGAGGGGGGTTTGAGGCTGAGCAAGAAGATGCCGGGGGCTGTTTGTAGTTTCCTGCTTTGAAGGCCCAAGCTTTTACAACTGACATTTTCCAGGGTCCCTTGGCGTTTTGGCCCCACGCGTAGAGCGTTTCGGGGATCTCTCTGAAATTATTTATGTTGGGTTCAGTAAATGGGTGTGTCTTTTTTGAGGGAGCCCTTTTGGGCTGGAAACCAAACTGAAACCCAGGATTTTGAGGGTTCCCCTGATTCGACACACACCCAAATACGGACAAATTCTGAATCAATCCTATGGTTAGGGGGCAAAAGCTGCACACAGCTACGAGGGCACGCTAGGCAAGCCAAGGCCCTCAAGAGCCATACCCAGTTGCCCAGGGGCACCTTTTTTTCTTTTTTTTTGGGGAAGGGTTCCCGTTTAAACTCAACCAGCCAAAAAAGGATGGCTTTTTTTTGCCCTGACCACTGGGCATCTGAGCATAGTTTGGTGTTTCCTTTCGCCAGGATCTGGGACTTGGAGACCCAGACCTGCAAGCTTCGCATGGAGGGCCACACCGGGCCTGTCTGAGGCCTCAGTTAGGTCGAGATCCGCGGTTGACGCGTGTGCTTTGGAGACTAGGCCCTTTTTGAGGTGGTGGTAAAGGGAAACCAGCAGAAACCACATGGATACATGTAAGAATTGGTGAAGATTTGGTGCATTTTTGGGCGTTTACGGCAGGGTTTTGCTTTTCAGTCTTTCTTCTCACCCGAAAATAATCCTTTGCTCTAGCTTTTGGGCAGGTGATGACAACAAAGGTTCAAGTTACAGCTTTGGGTTCGGACAAAGGTTGCTTCCATTGGTCCAAGGGGACGCAGTGGCAGCCTTGCATGTCCTTCAGTTTACTCTTGCATGTAATGGTATGCCATCACATTGTCACACGGCCTGCCAATGAGTTGCAAAATGCAGCCTTGAAGTTGTCGCGTGTTTGCTGCCGGGCTGAGATGGCATTCAGTTGAGTTGGCCGAGGCGGCTCCTTGCTGGAAACGGGTTTGTGCATCATCATATTCAACCTGTAATATGTGAGGGCAAGGTGTACTTGGGACTCACTGTGTGGTTTGGGTGGCTTTGCGACAGACTTTTCTTGGAGCGAAATTAGTATGTCTCTGTGTGTTTTGTTCATCTGAGGTGTTTCACATTTCTCTTAGATCAGAGACTGGCAGGATTTTCAGCCCCGACCACGAAATGCCACTACAGCCCATTCCCACATCTCAGTGTCTGACTCCCACTCCATTTCATTTTAGTCTCTCCGATCCAAATCATTTGATATCTCAAACCTGCGGCCAATAGAAACAATCGCAGATGCGTGGTTTCAACATGTGAATGCATGGCGCCTTCTCCGTATTTGTGTTTTGCAATTCCTCGCCTGACGTTGGCTGGTTTTGGCGAACGATCGATCTGAGATCTGGTGTGCCAGCCTCGACCCGGAAACTGGCAACAAGGCGGAGTCAGGAGACGGATTTCCGACGAAGGTTTGTTTCAAAATAGGGGAATCCACAAAATGGCTTCGGTGTTCCTTTGGTTAACACTTAAACTAACTTGTAAACGGTACCCTGTAAGCTTGACTGCTATTGGGTTGGATCTTTAGACTTTAACTTTTTGGGAAATAAATGTGTTTTCCACTAAACCCCCCAAAAGTTAAACGTTTTGCAGGGAGTCAACAGCAACCAAGTAAAAGCATATGTAATACACCAATTTAATCATTTTCGGTGGTTTTAGACGTTGTTGCCTGACCCGGTTAAATTGTGAGATTGGTAGGAAACCCTGTAGTCCCGGCCCATGTCCCTCTGCCACTCATACCGCAACTCAATCGCAGCGGAATGACTGAAGTGTGCCAAACAACAGGTGTCCTGTTGCTTCACCCAAATTTGATTGATCCGCTCGAATTCTCCCAGACTGTGTCAGCTGTAGCCCTCTTCCAATCTCATGCTGCCTTCATGTATTTCAGTTTGCCAGTTGTGAATCAAAGTGAATCCTATTCCAGCTTAGCGTTCCGAGAATCGACGTGGAAACTCAGAGGCCTCTTCCGAAAGACTGCAGTTTTGACTTTTTCGCGGGAGCGGAGCAACAGTTCAACAGAATAAGCCCTGTCATGCGCAAACATCGTGGCACTGCGAAGCCCACTTGCTGAAATGGACATGGGCATGTGAGACGGGATCAACTCACTGAACAGACATGAACACATGTTACAAAGTTGTTTGAATGTGGCTCATGTATTTTTCTTTTTACCATGTTGTTTATTATATCCCATCCCTTTTCGAATTGCCAGTAGCAGCATGACAGTCACGTATGACTGTAAGACTGAAATGTTTGCATCGCTCAGATTCTCCCTTCGTTTTTAGGAGAGACATGAGGGCCCCGCGCCTAAACCCAGGAAAGCTTTGATAAGCCTTCGATCAGAATCGATGAAACTTTTCTACGACCTCCTGGGTGGCAGGGCCTCCCTCCCTATTTATTTGTTGTTTTAGGCGCATCAAATCAGCGGATCAATAAAGCCTTGCTTGATGAATAGGGGGTGTCCCCTTTTAGTGGGAATATGTGGGAATCCTTCACCTTTGCGGGTGACACCCCCTATCCCTGTGGCTACTTGGTTGCATCTTTGGACTTTAGCCTTTTAGTTCGGGCCGAGGATCTTCATTGGACCCACACAAAGCTTAACCTTGTTTCACAGGGGTCGTTGCAGCAACTTATTCTGGATGCCCTACATCCTGCACCTAAGCAACCCTGGAATGAGTCCCATATACCAACACAATAAAAAACACCGCCACAAGTGCAATCATATACTTTATTGAACAAACATATGTGCCATCAGACAAACATTATGGTTTCAACCAGGGTATCACTGGAATGGGGTGATTCATTTGGTCCGAGGCCTCTCGAATCCGCAGGCCGTGACCGGCTCCTCGGACCGCCATCTGATGGTGTGGGACCTGCGGAGCAAGTCCTGTGTGAGGCGCAGACGTGGCAAAGAAAAGCGGTGGGAGCCTCGAAGCCTCAAACAACTTGGAGATCACAGCCATCATTTTTTTGGTTTTTAATAGCCAGTGTGAGGGCCATTGACCTTTGTCCAGTGGGCCCTGCGCCTTTTCGGGATGCGCCCGACAATGTTGGTTGCAGCCCGCGGTTGGCGGAAATTGGGGCCAAGGGAATCACTCTTAAAGTAACATAACGTAGCCATAGGCATGGGAGCCCCCAACTTTGGTATCACAGCAAAGGCGTTTGTCCACAACCATGTTTCGCTTTGTTTCTATGCTCAACCCACCCAAGAGGTAAACGTCCAGTGGTTTTCACAACACGGGTCGTTGAATCTCTCGGACACCTCCCTTTCAAGCGTAGCCTAAACGGACAAAACGAGACCAGCAAAACTCACGCTCAACACCAGCCAATCCCAGCCGGCCGCCGCCCTTTAGCTAGCCAAGCATGTCATGTGGCGCGCATGCCACTTATCACTCATGCATCAATGGTCCAAGTCCGCGGGTTCCGTTCATAAGCAAACGTGCAAGCTTTAGTAGACGTTGTCTAGCCTGCAGTGCCTCAAATATGCTTGACTGATCCACGAAGCTGCAAAGATACTGGCTAAGGGCTTGATCACAAAGCAGTTTGAGAAATTGAGGTCTGAGTTGCTTAGCACTGGTTGACCTTCCGGCTTTGTCATTTTTTGGAGTACCCCTTTTCAGAGGGAACATGAATGAAAACCACTGGGAAGGCTGGGGGCCACCCTGAACCTGAGGATTTATTATTCACCCTTTGGGGAAAAGCTTGGGTTGAAGACAGGTAGGGGGTTTGATAGAGCATTGGTTTTGTAGGGTTCCTTTTGCTTTTCTCAGTTTCTAGAATTGGGGCAGGATGTTCTGAGCAATCCGAAGTTGGATCCGCGAGGGCCATGCTGCAGCACGGGCGTCACGTGGTGGACCTCCGGGTGGATTGGCCCACGTCGCGACTGGCAGAATTGAAAGCGAAAGTGGGGGTCCGGAAACGTAGCAGAGATTTGTGGGATCCCCAATAAGGGGTGCCGAATCTGGCAGAGGAGAACCTAAAGCAAAGAGGCATCTTACTTGTAAGGAATTTCAACGTTAGAACACACCCAGTTTGCTTCCATGGGTCGTGCTCAGCTGCCTGTTTGGTTTCTCCCTTCGCTTCTACCTTTCTGCCTCACGTGGGCCCAGGGGTTTAGATCGGGAACGTGGCAGTGAGTCAGACTTATGCTTCAGCCCTTGAGCCAACTGCCGCATTCCGTGCTCAAGCGCTCCAAACTGCTTGCCCATGAAACAGAGCGGAATCCCTTCCAGTTGACCTAGGCCATCCAAGCACCTACTTGGAGTCTCCAAAAAAAAAGCAACTCCTAGGCCCGCCAAGCACCCTTCGAGTGCCCGGAAGAGTTTCGTCGCAATGCCCGCCATGAAGCGCCCCGCTGCCGCCATGGAGACATCTGCTCCAGCGGTCACCGCCACAGCTGGGGAGCTCCAGCGGATGCTTACGGTGATCGAGGAGGAGGCGGGGTCCCGGGGTGCAGTCAGGACCCGTCCGAAAGCGCCGTTGGGTGGCAACTCCGGAGACTAACCATCGAGCCCCAAGAAAAGAGGCAAAGGAGATCCTAGATCCCCAAGGGGTTTGTGCTTTGGATTGCAATATGTTCCTTAGGAGAGGATCATCAGATGCTGGAACGCGTCTCAAAAAGGGAAGCCCTCAGGCTGACGGTGGATCGACGGTGGATCTGGATTCGGACATTCATCTTATTTAATATTTTTCCACGAGGGTTACCCCTTTGTGGGATCGCCCATGCAGGGCAAAGCATGACATGTGTTCTTGCATGGGGGCAAAGCGCTCAGAGGAGTGCCACTCTTCCCTGACGAAGCCAGCAAAACATGCCCTGTCAATGGAAAGTTAAAATTGACAAATAGCAGCTTTCAGACCCTACAGATACATGACCCTACATGTTGGCCTGCAACAACTTGCAACCTGCATGCTGGGATGCCCGGCAGAGAAGGATCAACTTTCATGGCATCGCTTGGTTTTTGGCACTTGACTTGTCAGACACTCCGACCATCCGATTGGTCCGTTTCTGAGATATGGTCCGTCCCTTTAGCATACTTTCGGGAAGAACATGAGAAAGGGCCGACCAAAGGGCCCTGTCCAGGTGTCCATGCCGCTTGGAGTTCTAGTCCCAGATGGGTCTAAGATGATAGGACCAGGTCCCATTCTTCCAGGTTCACACCGTCGCGCGCGAGTCTCCCGTTCTTTTCTTGTTTTTTTTTGTTTTTTTTTTCTGTTGAGGTGCTGCCAAAGACGGAGAAGGCGGTGCAGGAGGGCAACAAGGTCTTTGGAGCCGCGGTGCTCAAGGACGCAGAGGACTTGCCCACCGTCCCTTTGGCCGTGTAGGCTTTCATCTCATGTTGTCATTGCGATCTTGTGAATCTTGCGGACCAATCGGGGGGTGCTTCCCCCGGAAAATGAAGGAGTCTCAATGACATGGGACACCCTCGTGAATCAACTCGGGGCTTATTGCCTCTGTAGCCTTTGTATTTGTATCCCAACAATTCCCTTCTTCTGCAGCAGAATAGACCCAGGTTATCGCTGAGACGAATCATGAGATGCTTTGCCCCCTGCAACGTGGCGGATCACGGGGCGCGGGTGAAACGGAACGATCCGGAACAAAGAGCCAGGCTATACGTGGCCTCCAACATGTTATTTTAGGGTAGACTAAATATAAATCTGAACGTGTTTGCTTTTTGGTATACGTATATCGACACCAGGCATCGGGCCTAGATGTTACTCCCAGTTTGGCAGTTGTTCAGAAGCAAAGGGCCAACGTGGTGTTGTTCTCCCCCTAAGGTAGCAGCATCGACATCAAGCCCAAACCCTGTTGGTCGTAGTTGACGGAAGGAAGGATACCAAGGGTATCCTTCTTGTTAGGATAAGTAGTCAGGGATGACCGGTGTCACAGGTTGCCTTCCATCAACGTGATGTTTGCCTTCTCAAATTTGGAGACGGATGTCCTTTCTTCGTGGTCCAAGCACTGCATATCTTCGCATTGCCGGCCTGGAGTGGCGATTGGTGTCTCACAGGGTGGTTTCATCCAAACTGATGAGGTGCATGGACAGCTTTGGATGATTCTGACCCATGAACTACAGCGAAAGATCGGTTGCGGGTGGTGCGGACAGTGCCGCAAGGGCCCTCTCAGACGCTCCCACTACCGCACTTCCCCTCATGACACAGGAGAGGCCCGTTGCATCTATCCTTCCCGTGCATCCATCCTTCCCGTGCATCCATCAAAAGCCACCTTTCGTCAGGTTCCATTTGGGTTCACTCCCACCCAAGCGTACTAAACAAAAAAATGAGGGTTTGCACGCCCTTTCCGCAAAGCTACAATGAGTCCACATGTCAATGGTGCCAAACCCACCCACATCTTAACTGGCCCGGATCCACAGTTTGACCCAAAGCATGCAACCTCAAAGCACCCAGTGCACCATGGCAACCCTGAACGTGAGGGAGCGTCCCTGCAACTTGCCACGCGGCAACAATCTTCTCGCCAGCTTCCGTTATGCTGGTAGTCGGGGCCGCGTGCTTTTTGAGTTGGGAGATCTTCATCATGTTGCGGGTAGGTTTTGCGCGAGTTTCACAACTCAGTCTATACTGGACCTAAGCACATCTGGGCGTCTACCTGCAGAGTAAGTTGCCACACTGTTCAGGCGCCGCGCATAGCATTGTGAAGGTTGATTTACGGCTGCTTGGGTTTTACGGGGTTTCCATGGGTTCCCTAGATTTCCTGTGTTGGTCGTTTAAGCATCACTTTGGGCGCCAATATAAAGTGAGTTTCCTTTAGGCGCAGTGATGTTTAGGGTGGACATGTAGGGCCCATCCATAGACCCGCGCAGGGACCGCCCAGCGCACCCCGGGGCATATACTCTTTATATGTACAGATATGCAAAAGTACTAGCCATATGGGCGTGGTGTATTGCTGTGTGTCAAAGCGCCTTACAAACGTTTGATTGATATCCACTTGCCCTTCGTTCAAATCGCGAAGAGGATCCCAAGGTTTGGCTGCAAGTTGCCTCGGGTCGTGGTTTAATGCACATCCTATCGGCTGAATTGCGGATATAATATCTAGTTGTAGCACTCAATGGCCAAAGAGATGGCTGGAAAGGACCTTGGGTTTTTTGGTTTTGTTGTCGCGCCCATGCAAATCTTTACCATGGGACCCCAAAAAGCAAGAGTTGATCTGGAATGAATCAACAGAGGAATTCTTTAAGAAATAGGTTGTTTGGGGTAGGGGGAAATCGGCCGAGGTACCACGGGGAGGTGTACACCATCAAGCAGCTCAGCGAGCTGCCACAGGATCAACGCCCGCCCCCCGAGCAGCCCCTCGTTGTGAAGGGAGGTGGAGCCAACAGATTGCGATGTTTCTCGAGGTTTCCGAAGTTCCTTTAAGCCTACCCCATGGGGTGACTCTGCAAAAAGGGCACACTCAACACAAGCACACCTTTCAGATCTTTCAGTGCCACCCTTGTGCCCTGCTGTTTGGTTGTTCACCAACAGGTTTACCAGGCTTCCTGGTATTCCACTTGTTCAGTAGATTCCGCCTCTAGGAGATTCTTGTTGGGTGGGTTCCCACAAAACTTGTTCAACCCAAAAAAGGGTTCCCTTTTTGGGATAGCTGGGCAACCGGTGAAGTGCTTGCTTCAGTTGCCCGACACTGATGTCGATAAGGGCGAGCATGGGCTAAGCCTTTGAGGCGTGTGTTGAAGGGGAACCATGACATGGTGGTTGACCTTTTGGTTCTCTTTGAGCCAACCTGAACTCTCAAAACATATAATACAAACCCATGTGGCCGAAGCAACTGCGAGTTGTAGTTGCAGCGTGTAAGCCAAGCTGGCGTTGCTTAAGGGCTAGAATCCCAGTGAGACCGCTTATCTTGCTGCTTCCGCGAAATCCTAAGCACACTCTATCAAAGTCCGGCGTTGGGCTGACCACAGAGGGATATGTCGATCCGGGGGCATTTTTTGTTGGATGATTGTAACGCATCATCTGGGTATGTGTCCGAATAGGGGGCCAAACAGATCGATGGTGTTCCTTTGTACCAACCTGCAAGGGTACCCGCAAAACACACGCGCACAGACATTCGTTCACTCCTGCTTGAGGAGCGGAAGCGTCCGAGCCAGTGAGGCAAAGGCTTTCAGGGTTGGGCCGGACCTGCCGCCAAAAGCGGCTGCTCAGCTTTCGTTGGGCATCCCGCAAACCAGCTTGTTGCCTTTGGGTCACACGATGGAATCGCTCAACTGCCAGCAGCATGCTGGACCTTGTTGGCTAGGTGCCTTTTCCTCTCCACGCACGAGCCGTGCTGCATGTGTGTCTCGGCCATTGTATGGGCCGGCTACAAGAAGAGCCTTGGCACATCCAGGAAGCAAGTCTGCAAACTGCTCGTCACTAGCAAGGCAAGTCACCTGGCAACCCTGGGTTTGTTCAGTAAGCAGTCGGCGCAGGCTCTCATACTGCAAACTGCAAGTTTGATAGGAACATATGACTATGTTATGTGGGCATATCGAAGCATGCTCCATGGCTGTTTGAATTTGAGTGGACACGTTTAACCATGTGCTGTAGCCCCGCACACCACACGCACGCACACACGCACACAGACACACAAGCACACAGGCACAGAGGCTCACACAATACATGTGACAGGCATATCAAGCATGTCCATAGTTGATGCGCAAGCAAAATTGATGAGTATTGATGTCAGGACACATGCATGTATCTCAAGTCTCAAGCTGTTTTGCGCTGAACAACACTAAACAACCATATATGGGGGAATACGATAGGTCGAAATTGCCGGTCACTTAGGAAGCTCGGTCACCTATGACAAATTCTATATTCTGAACGTGGCCTTCAATTGAAACACTGTGCACCCTTAGATGCCTTGCCATAGCTTGTATCTACAGGCAGGTCGCAAATAGAACTCCAAAAGCGCTCAACAATGGAAACCTGGTATGTATAACCCTGGTTGATAAATACTGCCTACGGGTGTCCTATTCCCTTTTGGGGGGGACCCACTTTCCGGGCACCCTATGAGCAAGGTTTATCCTCAGGTGGACATGTGGCAACTGGTGTTCCCCATGGTATCTCATGGTGCCTGTGCCGCTTTTTGCCCCCAGTGGAAAGATTGGAGCCTCCTATGGAAGTGAGCACTCCAGTGGCATATATCAGCTGGAACTTGATTTTCTGCAGTTGAGCGAGAGTTCCGCAGCAGGACCATTGAAAATTGTGGTACTTGTCCGAAGACGCTGGCTTCAAACAACTATTCAACCCTAAAGGAGAAAAGGGAAGCTCAATGAATTGATGCGACATGCAGACATGTCTTGATCGTCCCCATATTGCTTGTCACCTTCCCAAGTGTGAAGTCGACGGCGGATTCAGTCTGCACCCAATCAAGTGTTGATGTTTGATCGGGGACTGCCAAGCTCAGCTGCTACTGCTCGCTCTGACGTGGATCTTTGTCGTCACAACACGGTCAGTAATCTTTTGAGAGGGGGGCCGTTTTTGCGGAACATTCCCATCATCCACTAGGGTGTGCCTTTTTGTGCAACGCACCATGTTGTGTTTCTCTTGATGCGGATTGGGGTGCATACTCCAAGCATGGAAAGTGCGTTGTGTCAGCCTCTCTTGCGATCCGCGAGGATCGTGTTCCTCTTCCCCTACGAGACAACTCGAGATCAGGGCATTCCCCACGACCTGCAAATCATGCACGAGCTGTGGAACGTCGAGCGGTACCAGGCATGCAGAATATAGCGGTGAGCACGTGCAGCATGCGTTCGTCTTTCGATCTCAAACGCTGACTTTGCAATGGCTAGCATGTTGTTTGGCTTTCAGAGCACGTTGGTCCACGGCATTGATCAGTTGCCGCATGCCCGGGGCTTTGAGATCCAGTTGCCGCATGCTGGGGGGAATTAATAGTGACGCATCAGCCCGAAGTGCCGGCAAATGAAAGCAGTGACACGGGGCAACACGCTATTTCATGGTGTTGCCCCTCCATTTTCCTGCTGTAGTGTTATATATATACATTTACATATGTTGTGCACATCCATATCCGATGAGATCCTTGACAACATAGCACAATCTTGCCTTGTCTTCAGTAGTTTACCTGACATTCCGAGGGGTTGGCAGGGCTTTCCACTTGTCATGTCAATCAGCGACATGGCATGCTTTGGTGCAATGGAATGCCACCTCCCTATCTCACTAAGCGCCACTGGATGGCTCTTTAGCCAGTGCATAGATATCAAGTGGGCCATTTGCGGAAGGGCGCAAACTTGCATGCCTTTGCCCCGCCACTAAAAAGCGGTGTTTGAGTACAATAAAGTTGCCAACTTGAACTTGGCAACTCCTTGCCGCTGCCTTTCATATCGCTGTTTTATGAAATGCCTTTAACGAATTGGGGTGTGGTTGCTGTGAAATGGCTTTGGTATCTTGACAAGTTGGTTGATCTAACGTACCTGTCCGGAACCACCCTTGTGTATATACTTGTACAGATATAGTATGTGTCAAGACTAAGAACCCATTGTGGGACGGCCTCCATCGGCTGGCGGGATGTCAAACGTGTCACTCCCAGCTGTTGGGCCCGATCGCCGGAACCTTTGGGAGGTGAAGAACAAGTTCTGCTCCTCCAAGAGCATTAAGGAGACCGCCGGCTGGGAGGAAGTAGAAAACGAATCAGCGTTCTGTTGATGACACAAAACATATGCGCATACACATATCATATACATATATGCATATATATACATATGTGTATAATGATTCTACAAATATGTATACGTGTACATATGCACATGTATGTATATATATATATATGTATGAGCAAGTGGCAGTTGGGAGCCCAAGACTCTTCCTCGCTTCGACCAACGGTTTCAGCGCTTAGCAAGTTCTGAGTTTATCAAAACGCATCCAGTCAGATGTGCAAGGCGGAGTTTGCCCGGTAAGTGCTTGAGTTCAGCGAACGGGGTCATGGAACGTTTGCATAGAAGTTTGTCATTCTTGCTAGTTTCAGAATGTGCTTAATGTTGCCTCTTAAGGGTAAGGACTGGTTAAGCATCCAATCAGTGCCGAGACTTGTTATATATATATATTCCCCGACCACGAACCATAAGGCTGCCCTATGCCAACCCCAGTTGAACATATCGTAAAGAAGTGACTTTATGCTCGTGGGTGGGGGATTGGTTCAGTTGTTTTTTGAGATGTGTTTTTGTTGGGCAATGTGTTGGAGAAATCACTCTTTCCCTTGTGGCTAGCCGTTGTTATTTGGTACAACATGTCCGTCATTGAGCTCAGCTTGGGAGCCAACCATGTTAAACACATGTCGGATATATGTCACCTTCAAGTCTGAAGAAATTTAAACGATGCTCGAGTGATAGCGACCTCGGAAAAGTTTTCGACCTCTCTAATGGTTCCTTCCTTGCTTTGGGGAGTTATTTTGATACACCCAGTTTATTTGTTCTTGTGCCAGCTTCAGAATGACACCACCTCAAGTTCGGTGCAAAGACCAATATACTTGGAGTATGCATGAGAGTTGATCAAAAGGTCCCCTGCACGGGATGATCATTCGGAAAACCAACAAGAAAGGATCGTGCTAGTAGTTGGCAAAAGTTACCCGTGGTCGTTTGCGGGTCCAGAAATGTTGATACACCTCCACGTGTTGGCCTTGGCTGACTGAGTTGACTTGAGGAGCTTATCGAGGCACTGCCGAAAAAGGAGCAGGCCCCACTGAACGATCAGGCGAAAAGAGCGGGACTCGCCTTGTTGCATTTGTTGTTTCTGGACTTCATACTGTTTGGGAAGACAACTTCAGTGGTAACGGACAAACTGGAACGTGTTCTTGGCCAGTGCACTTAGTAAGCGAGTTTTAGACCGCATTCATAGCATCACGTCCTTCATTCCAGGCCGCTAGATTGATAAACAAAAGGTACAACATGTAATTTGTTTTGGGGCAGATGCTGTTTGTTTTGTTGATGGCCTTGAGACTACAAAATATATTGCCATGCTTGTGTGACTCGCATGCATGGTAACAAGTAGACCGGCGCTAGAAACGGAATGCGCTGGTATTAGTCTACTTGGGCACCAGGACTGTCGGAGAAAGCATTTTGAGCATACTGTGCAAACACACACCCACACACACACCCACACGCTGTATAGCTTCGTCTTATTTGGGGAGGTTTTTTGCCATCAGTCGGTTGCATTTGTAGACTTGGACCTTATGCAAGCTTTTGTTGGCTTTCTATCAGCTTTCCCAGAGTTTGGAGTCAGTTTCTGGCTCGTGTTTCTTGCCGTCTTTTTCGTGCTCCTGCAAGAATGGTGTCTAATCCTGCTCGCAGCGATAAACATCAAGCACTTCTGCAACCCGGCTTCCAGGTCCAGGTACAGAACAGTGCTCAGCCGGGTAAACTACCATATTCGGCAGCCCGGTCCATAGCCGATGACATTGTGGACAACAGGTTCTTTGTCGCAGCTCCTAGTGATGGAGTCTCGGAACTGGGAGAGATTCATCTGGACATGTTTGCACCTCCGGGTGTTTTTGGTTTCTAGAAGCCTATACACTCCCCGGGCTGCAATAGTTTCTAAAATGTTGCACTGCTATATGCAGGAGCATCATAAAGCGCAACCTCGCACGCAGTCTGTTGGCAGTGCACCTTGGTAAGTGTGCGAGATTGCACCTTGATGACAGCGTACTCTGCGTTTTCCGGCAAAGCTCGTGGATGTACGCACGCACACAAGCATGCATTCCGCTTGGATTGCACAGCAATGTTGCGGCGTTCTTTGAAACGAAAGTGGTGGGAGACATCACTGTTGTTATGCGTGCCTTTTCCTGGGCTTATCTTTTGATGTACACAGAATGACAGAATGAGAGGGAGAAGCTGCATGGGCCTTGGATACATGTGGACTGACACCATTGCAGTCAGGGAAGCAACGCAGCTCGCAGGCCTGGACCCTCCCTTTTATATATTTCAAGTTCAGCTCACTTATTCCATGGACGTCATGGATAGATGTGCAATCTGTGTTCTATCGTTGAACAACCACGGTTTCGAGAAGGGGGGCTGGAATAGGCGCAGACAATCATATCAACAACCACTCTTGGGGACGCTAACCACAACTTTGAACAAACATAGTATGCAAGTCCATTCCAGAACTGTCAAAATTTACGTAGTTGCTCTACGGCCAGGTGAAACGTATCACGGACAAGTACAGCGATCTTTCGACGAAGCCACTTGGCATGTTTTCACCGGGCAATGGCGCCTAGGTGATAGCCGAGTCTTGTGACTTTGGAAGCATCGGGAGGTATAGCATTTACCTACTCGTGAAAGGTCCATGAAGGAGTGACGATCGGTTTGTTTTCTTTTCAGATTATATGTATGGCGAAGCCAGCTGGGATTTTCTGCAAACCCCATACTGGCATTCAGCCAAAACGGGACATGCTGCAGGATGTCTGCACAAGAGCACGCGTGCAGCAGTCCATTTGCACATTCAGCCTAGAAGCCCAGGGTTGCAGACTCGTTTATACTTGATTCATGGGTGGCGCATGCGGGTTTCAACCAACCCTTGCCTGCAAACCCTCAAGTCTTGTAGCTTAGCTGACTCCAGGAAAGCAGAATTGAGCTACGTTTGTTTCAGTTCGCATATGCGTCGAAGCCACTGATTCATCGAAACCTGACGTGCTGGGCACCTGTCATGTGCCCTGGACACACAAATCTTGAGTACAGAACACCGCTCATGTGTAGGATCAAACATGAAAGACACGGGAGACTGGATGACTGCAAAAGCCCATTTCATTTTGACTCCGGCAATCCTTTATAGTCCGTGTTGTTTGTTTACTGGCATGTTCCTTGGGCATTTGTAATATTACCGCTTGACCCCGTTTGTCAGAATGATGAGATGCTCGTCAGCCTTCGTGCCAGCTGGTGCGAACTGGGCACACAGGGATTTGGCCGGGTTCCGCTGACGGCGTGTAAAAATATTCCGAACCATTGGTGCCCTGTTTTCCTTTGTCTTGGAGGGGGCTTCCCTTTTTAAGATCAACCAACAGAAACAGCATCCCCTTAAAGGATACATTTGGGCCACCTGAAATTTCACCTGTACCAGCTGATTCACAGGATCCCTCGCTAAAGCAGGTGGGTTTTTGTGTATATATCCTTTCTTAAATGCTAGTTGTTTTTATGCCGACTTCTGAGTTTTGCACCTGCAGTAGCCCGAGGTATCATACAGAGAAGACAGCGAATGCCAGCAACACTTTGGCCTTCGGTTGATGGCATTGCTGATGGCACGGTGTTGCCTTCTAGGCGCCATAGCAAAGGACTCGGACCATACTTTATCTGCTGATGTTATTCAGCAAATACTGCAACTCCAGCCCCAATCACGGGGCAAGTTGGGGATCGAAGATCCCAGTGAGACGATTCACAAGGCGCATCGATTGAAAAAGGCTCAGCGGCAAGGTGTAAGTGTGTATGCGGGTTTAGGTGTGCGTGTGTTTGTTTGTTTGTTTGTTTGTTTATTTGTTTGCATGCTTGCTTGCTTGCTTGCTTGCTTGCTTTCTTGCTTGCTTGCGTGCTTGTTTGTTTGTTTGTTTGTTTGTGTGTGTGTGTGTGGGGGTGTTGGCATGTGTGTATATTTAGACAATGCCGGGCAGGACCAGAACCAAAGATGAGCCATGCTGCTTATCTCATTTCAAAATGGCTACAATTGGATGCGAACGAGCTGAGACGAACCCCCACAAGGCCAATCCAAATGAACCACCATGCAAATGGTGGAACGGTCCACGGCAGAGACAATTACGAATGACCCAGACAATGACAAGGTTTGATGATTGATGGTGTTATCGTTAGTATTCTGTGTCTGTGTGTGTGAGGAATTGACTTGCGAGTCTTCAGAACCTTCACTCTCAAAGACGGTTGGCATATGACATGATGTGGACCAAGGGGTCCCTGCCCAATCAAAGCAATGTTCATACCTGATTAAAGAACCTCGTGGATGATTGAACTTCCCAAAAGTGATCCGGATTCCGGCCACTTCCCAATCAAATCCAACCAGGAGTTGATTACACATGTGGGTTCCCCAAACAAATCTTGAAACCCCCGTTTGGGGTGTTTCAAACTGAAGGCACCCACAAAATGGTGGTGCTCTTCATGGCCTTCCTACAACTGCCACGGCGACACCCGTTAGTCCCAAGTGGCCAGGTTTCAGGGCATGAGCTGCTCGGCGGATCGGAGCATCATCCTCTGGGACCTGGAGGACGGGGTGGGCCTTGCCCATGGCTTCGGATCTGAAAGAGAAGGCAGCAAACCAGGGGATGGCCCCCAAAGAAAGCGATGGCAGTTGATGTTGGGCTTGTTGGAGGGTACCCTTTTCAGGCCTTGTCAGGCCTTTTTTCTCGTCGATGAGTCAGAGGTGCCCGAATGGGCTTGGCACGAAAGGCTGGAAATGAGGTGTTCGATTGATTTTCCGTTAGGACAACCCTCATAAGATTACCTTCGAAAACAGATACACCTAAGCGATCATTTGAGTGGCTGGAAGCATTACCTTTTGGTGCCCAGTTTGAGTGATGGTCCTCCAGGAAGGACTTGATGTTTAAAGCTAAACCGACAGACCCGCAAAACCCTGTGAGCGGGTTGTTTTCTCGTTCGGGGACACGTGGCAAAGCGAGGAGCCGAAACCACTGTGGAACTGGATTGCTCGCATGGCCCATCCTTCCCAAGTTCAGGTTCCATATTGTTAAATGCTCCATTGAGAAGACCAGCTGGCTGGATGGAGTTTAGTTTGTTTATAAGGCAAAGGAAGTGGATACCTTTTCTGTGAGGTTTGCCGCAGTTTTACCTGCCGCTTGCTGTTGAATTCTCCCCTCCGCTTTGGTCTGTGCACTTCGTCATTTACCCATTCGGCCTTTGGTGAAGTTGTTTTGTTTCTTGTGCCTCCAACGAGGCCGCCCTCCCGTTTAGCTCTCTTGCTGCAATATAGAAAGGTGCCCTTGTACAAATCGATCCGCTTGTTGGGAGCAAGGTAGCTGTTGGCCGAAAAAAGGCTCTTCTTTACATTGTTGTGCATCAGCCAATCCGCCTCTGAGTCATTTAGGGATAGCTGTCAACAAGCAATGCATACAAAGGAAGCACACACCGAGGCCAAAAGCATTCAAGGGCATTCAACCGCAAATTGAAGATTCGCAGCCTGGATCCCTTGCTAGAAAGGGCATGCCCAAGCTTGTAGTGGCACTGTGATGTGGCTGAGCCGATTACTTGGGAATACAAGGGAGAGCTCAGCTGCCTGAGGAAACTCGACATGTCAATCTAGAGTCATGGCCCACAGATGTTCTTTTTCATCCATGTCCCTCGGGTAAGAGACATGTACATGTAGGACGTACCCTTGAATGCGGGTTTCCCGACGATGTGTGCGATTTGGCCGGGATCCCAATTTCACTTGAGGGAGCATTGAACGTTGCATGGCATGCTTCTCAATACCAAAGACCTGCCTGCAGGTAGCAGAGCCTTTGCAGAAGTTCGAGAAGCACCCGGGCAGTGTTTGGTGCATGTGCCTCCGGCAAGCTTGCGACCGATGCAGATGATCGAAGGGTTCACCAGCTGACCCAGCTAGTGGCCAAAGAAACCAGCGACAGTTGCAGAGTCCGGGCATACTTGCTAGAGCGACCCTTGTACTCCATATTCGATCATATGGGCATGTTGCTTTCCATCCTTTTGGTTACTACTTAAAGGAAACGGAAACCAACGTGTTTAGGTACCGATTCCTATTGTGGAGGCGCTGCAACGTATTCTCAACTGGCAAGGACTGTCATGATTAGGACACATGGTGAATCTTGTCTAAAACCCCAGGTGCCTTGCAGATGCGCGGATGTATTTCTGCTCTAGTAACATTGCACGTGTTTGTGCCGTGCAATTACGCAAGGCGACCACGTAGATTTTGAAGGCTGGTGCATGTACTTTTGCTCGCACATGCGCAACGCCCATGGCATAAATGTGATGGTTGGCCGGTAGCAGTGTTGCCCCTTTCTAAGCTGCTTTGCTTATTGCCGTGCTTCATGTTTGTGCCGGCATGCGAGGCTTAAACGTCGGGCCGAGGTTCGGGCATCTTCTTCTTCATTCCAAAGCCAGAATTGAATTCCGCACTTTGCCAGGGACGTGGATTGGTCTGGGCGCCGCATGGTGACAGGCCTGGCGTGTGTTGCACTCATTGAATTGTCAGCCAGCTGTGTGTATCAAAGCGAAGATAATTTCTGGAGGCAGTTAAAGCCTACATGATGCAACACATTTGCGGATGCAGCACTTGCTTGCAGAATGTGCTCGTGAAGCTTGGCCTTCAAAGTTAGGGTGTATAAACGTCATACACCAACAGTTGAATCAGTGGCTGTTCCAGGCCCTGTTCGTGCCTAGTTTCCCGAACTGACCCAAATGTGCAATATATGTCTTCAGATGCCAGACAATCCCAGGGATTAGACAATCACGTCAGAGGTTCATACACAGGTTCATGCATTCCAGTGTTCTATGGTTTGGCAATTCTATTTGCAATGATGTGTTGTGGATGTCAATTATGGAATTGTGGAACAAACGTATGCTGTATGGAGCAGGTTCAAGCATGGTGCCACTTGGCATCATCGTGACTAGGTGACAACAGGTGCAATGCACTAACTTGAGAGTCAGTGCATTGTTCAAGAGGGTCGGAATCATGGACAGTCTGCTGGTGCCATTCATCAGATATGAACGTGATGACCAATGTGTGTTCTTGGGGATTGGAGGAGCAGGTCATCGATTTCGTGAAAAGGACATGCATTTACGAGGATACCTGGGAAGTTGAGCTTGGATTGAGCTCGGTCTAGTTGACGGGCCGTGACGGATGGCTTCGTGCGGATTCCATTGAGACAAGCAATCATTATGTGAGGGGAGGAAGACTTTGTCTACCATGTCCGCCTGACGGAATTGTGCTTTTGCCTTGCTGTGTGTCGGACGCGCGTGCTTGCAGTGAAGTATGGCAGCATGATTTCCATGGAGAGTTGCTGCATGAACAGCTTTCCGGGAAGCCAGACTTGGAAGGGCAATGATTAGGTTATTTTCTTGGTTTCTTGTCCCGCGGCCACCTAATCGTGAACGCAAGGGTGTTATTTTAATCTAGTCAAAGCAACGGGGGCGTTACACCAGCAACCGGGGCTCGTGCCAGCATTGTTATGTTGATGAAAGTACCGCTTCTTTTCCAAAAGCACAAAGGGGGACCCATTGTTGGGGTTTCCCTCACAAACCAGACTGATCCCAGCCTTCCTGTCCCAGGTGCTGGCCCTGGCGACAATAGCATCCTTATGTGGGACTGCAGCGTCCACATCGCAGTTTGCGCGGTTTGTTTCATGTGTCCGTTCTTTGATTCATGCATGAGTGTGCGTGTGTGTGTGTGTGTGTGCGTGTTTGTCCGTTTGTTTGTCTCCATGTGGTCATGTAGTCGTGTTTTCTATATATGTGTCAGGGGGCGGGGATGTGTCGGGTGTGTGGGCGTGGCCAGATTGCCAATCTGCTGGGTGATCGCATGTCACCACTGTTTTGTTTTTGTTGCTGTTTGAGTGCGTTGCAGCGGCATATTGCTGACCCTGGTCGTCTCTGCAAATAGTTGGCTGGTTCTTACGTGAAATATGCCAAGATATGCAAACTGACGTATACTGGTTCAGAGCCAAAGCACAGGGAGGAATTGCAGCCCAATAGTGACTATTGGTGACTCTTATTAGTGACTACTAGGCGCAAATAAGGACGATTTAGGGCCATGACCTTGCTATGGCTCCCCCTTCCCATGGCGCTGAGTCATTGGACGAAGGGACCTGCATGGAGTCACAAGCAGCCAGCAAATTGGATGCTTGGTGGTTGGTCTTGTACGAGGGTACTATGCGCTTGAGTATACACAGAGGGATTCAGTGAAATGAGCCACATGAATGCGGGCAGCTATGAGCACGCTGTAGCTGCACAAAGCAAATGGCCCAGTTAACACCACAGCCATTTTCACGAGATCTCAAGCTCGGTCATGTCAAACTCGCCTGACTAACTTGGCCTGTTCCACCATGGTTTTTCCTTCCCTGTCTCGCTTTTTGTCAAACAAAGATGTCACCTTTCTTGTCCACTGTTTGACACAAAGCCAGGACTCGCGCTGACTCGCAGGGTGGGTTTTGAGTGCCCAGGACTTCAAGGATGGCTTCGTGGAGCGAGAGGTCCAGGGCCACGAGGGCAGCGCAGGGGCACCAAGCGCCCGAGGGCGCATGGTTCGGGGGGGAGGGGGAGGGGCGAGGCGAAGCCCCAGTTCTCACCCTTGTGGCTTTGAGGAACGTCGCTAGGGGCTGGGATTGCCACCAACTCAAGGAACCTGGTTGCTTGAAGATATGAAGGGCATGCTGGTGTGATGACATGGATCACCTTCGGGCAGCTGTGCATGGTGTTTGAT